CACTAGTATGTCCATTGGCTGTGGTCACACTCCCAAACGACCCGAGCTGAATCGTGCAGAGAATGCTGACCAATGAATTTCCTGACAAGGCTGGCTGCAGCAGTCGAGTTAGTTTGCTGTCTCGATACGGCAAGTGTTTGCCATCTTTATCGGTTGGATTGCCGTTGGAGTCTCTATCACCCAAAAGCCTTGCAATGACGGTGCCGAGGGTCAGCAGACTCTTGTTGATGTGGGCACCTTCAGTTCTTCGCTCCTTGTTTTCTGCTGCCCTCTCGGAGCCAGCCAAATCAATCATGCTCAGTGTGGATACCCGAACCCCCCAGGCATGAGAGGGGCTCGTTTGTCGTTCACGTCTTTGCCGCCGTACGGCGCACGCTCCCGACTCTCAACAACAATTTGAACCACAGCATGACTACGGGAGCTTTGAGCGTTGTATTGGGTGCTTCTAGTCCTCCTGGACTGATCGCCTCGAGCAATTACTCGAAGCAACTGAGTCGGACTCTGCACGATCTCTTCTTTCAACGGACTGGCAAAAACCCTCGCTTTGGGTCCTCACGAAGTTTGATCTCTTCTGGCTGTGGCGATCCTGGTCCAATGCCGGCTTCCATCGGCGGCTTCAACAGATCATGAATCCTCTCGTTATAGATTTCTAGGTAGCTAACTCGTAGCAAAAATTCCCGATGCGGTGTTTCGCGAATGAAAGAAAATATGTCGGTTATAGCTAGTGGTATCACTCCTGGTGATGTTGCGGTTCCTTGCATGGAGAAGGTTTTGCCAGTCCCCGTCATACCGTAAGCAAACACTGTTCCATGGTAGCCCTCCATTACACGGCGTACAAGCCGTTTCGCTGACGCATCATAAACTTTGTGATTTTGATCATAAGGCGCGAACACATTATCTACTTCGACGTAAGCAGCGGTCTCGAACACTGTCAATTAACCCAACCAAGTGGTCTTCAGGTACAAAGGGACAATTGATCTCTGCTCCGAGGATGGCGATTGCCAGTGCGATATCCTAACGGCACTGCCTGAAAAGTTGGGATTGATAGTAGTGCAATGAACTTCCACTGGCTTACCATAGTAATAATCCCCACCCTCTCTTCCCCTGTAGGCCACGAGAGACTGCCGGCTATCCACCATCCAATCCTTGCCTGACGACTTTTCCGCGCCTGCATCGGGTCGTACACGCACGCTAACAATCACATTGCCCTTCCCCTCATATTCTCTTCGGCCAGAATCCCTTCTCTTACTTCCATCCTCTTTGTTGACGTGACTTTCTTCTCTGGCCCTCTTGTCATCCGTGTCTTCAAACGTTGTTGCTGAAGTAGAGTAAGACCCTTGAGCAGAAGAAGTTCGGCTGTGTGGCGGTGACCGCAGACTGACGAGATCATTTGACACTCTTGGTTCTGAAGTACTGGATATTGCTTTACCATCGCCACTTCCGTCCAGAAGAGTAGGGGTTGGCCCTCCGCTGTACATTTGACTAAGCCCATCTGTTGACGCCTTTGTTTTTAGTCTTTTGATCCTCAAGCTACCGGGCGGCGTACCACCTCCGTCTTTGCTTTGTGCGGTTGCTTCGGATATCAAGGAATGCGTGGCCGTTGAGTATTTGCTGTCGAGACCAGTCCTCCTGACTTTGGGAGGTTGGGGAAAATTCGCAATACTGACAGAGCGTCGAATCTCTTTGTCTGTCGACGAACCTTCCACTTGGCTGTGAGCCTGGCTGGCGGGATCGGACCGTAGAGTTGGTGTTTTCGGGCTAGAGGGCGCGTGACTGGTGCTTGGGGAGGTAGATGATTTGACGAGCTTCGAAGGGTTCTTGAGAGCGAGTGTAGAGGCCGTTGGAGGGGCAACTTGTTCTCGAGAGGACTCAGACACAGTCACAGGGGTTCGTAACCTGGAGACTGGCAATTGAGGAAGAGCAGAGGTTGGTGGAGGGAGATTAGGTCGGGTCATGTTGACCTCCATGTGTGGAAGTTGCGAACAACTGTGTATTCTCTCGGCAGAGGGGACAAAGCGAACGAGAGAGCGCAGACTCCTGGATGATGGGCTATTTGTGAGGAGTTGTCAATCCATGGCCAGCTGCTCATCCTCGTCAGCTGAAGAGGGTTTAGTCGAGGAATTGTAGTGCTGTCGCGGTGACCAATTGTTCGAGGACAGACGGCTAGGGATGGTAGACGTACTTTTATTCGTCCTGTGTCGCCAGGGAGACTTGGCAGCAGCAATTGCGAAGGATGTATGGTACAGCGACTGGAGAGAAGAATGTACGCGACCTGGCTTCACAGCATTGAAGATGAGTACAGTAAGAGAGGTTGAAGGCAAACCAGCAAAGTAGGGGTTTTCCAAAGTGTACGTCCCCAAATCCTTTTAAATTTGAGACCCCGCGATGTTTCAGAGATGGCAGCATTCCTCCCGACGTTCAATATTTTGTTGAAGCAAAAGAGAGTAGGGTTGGGGGGGGGGGAGGGTAAGGTAGAGGGACACTTCACACTCACAGCGTACCTATTTGCCTAAGATGATAATCTAATAATCTAATAATCTATAAAGTAACTTACTTACAAACGGACTTCAAAATCAATAGAATTATCATACATATGTACCCTCCAGTTAGGTACCTACAATAATCTTGACCAGGGTCCACTGCAGCAGCAACGCTCCCCCCGCGCTCCACCTGCTCTGCGCTACGCAACCTTACTCGCAACGGGGAAAGGGGCACAGGGGCTTGATTCGCTCAAGGCAGAAGCATCACATCACACTATCACACCATGCAGTTGCTGCAGAAAATCAATGGCCAACATAATAACGACTGCTTGCCACCGTCACACCAGTCACGGCAAATGTGCATCACAACCCCCCTTGAACGGACGTTGTCCTTTGCTGTACTCCGCAGTATTAAGGTATTGAGGTATTGAAGTATTGAGAAGGATGATACTCATCCGACATCGAGGACAACCTTGGTCTTCCTCACCCGAGCATTTCTCATGAAATCCCAGAGTATCATGAATGCAATGCCTTCTTTGCCAGCCTTGGACTTGCGCAGGACGAAGGAAGAAATGAGAACGAATATAGTTGGTGCCCGTAGTGGATTACGCTTGCTTTCGAAGATCTTGCCCATTTTTCTTTCTCCCTTCTAACGCCTTTGGAAACAATCCTCGGTACTTTCGTGAAATCGGCCTTCTGAACAACTAAACTGCCTGAGATGACGGCGTTGCATTTCGTGGTCTGGGCTTGTCTTCGATAGCAATCTTCAACGACATCCAGCGATGAAAGTTTACGACGTGCTGAGTAACCTCGGTCAAGCATTTGAACGGAATAAGCTGCCATTTTCTAAGCTTGTAGTTCCTGGTTGAGCGTATCTCGATTTAACAGGCTCAAAGGCAAGAACAGGTCCGGCGAAAGGCATGATGATGGAGAGCCTGAAGCTGTGCGTAGAGAGTAACGGATAGTGATCTAACTATGACTTGGCCACACCAAAGTTAAGCTTCCTCGCCACTCTATCACCGCGACCGTCTTCAATCTCACCTCCTCTCCTCTTCAGATCCTCGCCCATCCTTTCCGGTCCCCCACCCTTCTTCGGCAGATCCTCTTTCGCAGTGGGTCGTGGTTCGCTCGACCACCACTTATGCTCAAGCATCTCACGGGACGTGCACCGTTTCCGAGGATCCAAGGCAAGCATAGACATCAACAAATCAACTCCCACAGGCCCTGCCGTGCCAAATTTAGACAAATAGAAGTCCTTCCCGCGCACTGGTATTGTTGCAGCTTTATCGTATTTCAGATAGCCTTCGAGCTTGGACACACCCGGCCAATTCTCCTCTGTCGGAGTGCCAATTGCGTTGCATATTAATTCAAGCTGGTGCATGTCGGTGTTCCCTGCAACGAAAGGGAAGCGTAATATGAGTTCAGCGAAGACTGTTCCCATCGACCACACATCGACTGCACCAGAGTAGAACCTTGCCCCAAAGAGTAGCTCTGGAGGTCGGTACCATCGTGTGATGACCTGGTAAGTCATAGGCCGGTAAGGGTCAGAGAATGACCTTGCCAGTCCGAAATCAGCAAGCTTGACTTCTCCGTCTGCTGCTATAAGAAGATTGTTGGGCTTTATATCGCGATGTAGCACGAAATTCTCATGGCAAAACCACACAGCACGACCTAGCATGCCCATCCAAGCTTTGACCTCAGCCGTACCGTAGCGGATACCCTCACTGTCTTTAATGAGCATTTCAAGATCTCCCAAGGGTAGATACTCAAGTACCAGGTTGAGGTTTTGATTTTTGGAGGAGAAGACAGCATGCAGTGCAATGATGTTTGGATGTGAAAGCTCTTGAAGATACTTGACTTCTCTGATAGCGTCCATAGATAAGCCATCGCGATACTCGGTGTTGACCTTGATCTTCTTGATTGCCAATAGGGACGAAGGGTCTGCTTTCAGGTGTCCCAAATAAACTATGGCGTAAGTGCCTTCTCCAAGCTTCTTGTCCTTGACGTATTTTTGTTTGGTTTCATCATTCAGTCTTTCTGCTAATTCCTGCCCTCTTCCTGGCTCAGAAGTAGAACCATTCTGAGGCTTCGAGATGGAGTTGGTGCGAACAGCTAAAGATTTGGCTTTGGCGGCAGTGACCTTGATGTTGGATGTACTATCATATGTGACTACGGGCGACATTGCCATAGCTGCTTTTGGAGGGAGGCTTGAGATCACACTCTCTCAAAGCCCCGCAAGATCTTCAGAAGGCACAATTGGCATATACTTTGTATCTGCGGTTGACTTTGTAAAATAGCAAACGACTCATCACTCCAATCATAGAGTGCTGATATGCGCTTTCGCGCTAACGGCAAGTAGTAGAAATATCCTTCCGCTCCTGGCAACCTCAAAGCTCGAGTAATCACAACATATAGATACAATTGCGCCTCTTTCCATCATGATCGTCAGAAGCCTGCCATCCCCCTTAATACCATCAACCCTTCAATCCTTTCTCATAAGATCCCAACCTTCGCACTGTCTCCGCCATCTCCACGCTCGAGCCTCTGCTTCTCAACCCCCAACTCCTCAACCCACGCCATTTGTTCCAGACGCCTCCACCTTTCTCAAACTCATTGGCCGTAACCTCTCACAACATGCCGGAAAAATACCCACTTGGCAATCCCTCTTTTCCCTCACGTCAACCCAACTTCGTGAATTAGGCGTTGAGCCAGCTCGAACGCGACGGTACCTGCTCTGGTGGAGGGATAGATTCAGAAAAGGCATCTTCGGCGTGGGTGGAGATCTCAGGAACGTCAAGGATGGGGGGGGCAGAACTCCGTGTAGTGGAACTCCCCGTTGCCAAAGCGGCGATTCCAAAATCCAGAAGCACGAGCATAGCAATTGGCCTACAACGAACGAAGAGGATGATCGTCAACGAGCCACCAGAGGTCATAGAGAAGAGCCTATCGTTACAGCAGCTGAAACCAGTGGATGGCATGAAAGTGGTTGGCTTGCGGACGATAGTGGGACCATATGTGCAGCCCGTGAAGGGAACGAGTGGGAGCGTGGCCACCATCAAGGTTCAGGAAGGAATGTGGGAGGTCAGGAGAGGGGTGAAGGTTGATGGTGGAGAGAGGAGAAAATTACAGGTCAGGCGGAAGAGATTATTGGAGGAGAGGAGAACAACTAGGAAGTAGTGGGTATAGGAAACACAAGCTGTGATTTTTCTGCTTGTCTGGAAACTTCCCATAGGAGAAGGTGCGTGATTATACTTCACGAAGAAGGAAATGCTTTCCGGTTATCGATGGCTTGTGCTATCTATACCCATTTTTACTTGACGTGGTAAACAAATTGTGAGCTCCATGATGTGACTGCACAACACTAGTACTCGTGCACCTAAGCCGTACAAAGAACAATCATGGCATGCTAAATCCAAATGAACCCGCTTGCCATACCGGACATTCTCCCTCATCTGCCATATTCCAAACTAGGCACAATGACAGGCCCATATTTACTCACCCCCACCGCCCCCATCCCCGCTGCATCGGTCTGCACCATGAAATCTACGGCCAAGCTCAACTTCCCAGTCGCTGTGCCATGCATGTTCGTTTGTCCGAAGGTCCCCGTCACAACTTCCGGATCGTAAGCCACAATTGCCACATAATTCCTCCTGCCCATTAGCTTCCTCATATCTCGCTGTCTTCCATCTGGCTCTGCAGCGAATATTTCCATCATGTCCTCCTTTGTATCGCTCGGCGCATTATTCGAGCGGTGTCCGTTCTGTGGGATGTATAGCGGTTTCTGGGAGGCGTGGAGAAGCTTGAGGACGTAAGATGGAGGGGGGGTGTTGACGACAGAGGCAGATATGAGTTGGTACATGGTCTTGTGATCAGATGGTTTTGCCGGATCGTGCACAATACCAGCACCGCAGCAATCGACGGCACCTGATAGAAAAGTCATACGAATTGATTTTTGGTGGGATATACTCTGAAGGGTACGAATGAGGTAAGTGCGTTCAAGATCCTGATGGGAGTTAGCATGAGACACTTTCGACGACTGGCGAGTAATCAGGGCTTACCTTGGATTCGTGCGTCCATTGATCGCGCAGTTCATCGAGCATGTCAATGTCGCCGAATGGACTCAATATCCCGCCCATGAGACCAGACTTGCCGACAGCCTTCTTCACAGAGTCAAAGCCAGAGCCGACAACGCCTTTAGCACCCACAACTCCAGCTGCCGAGCTGGTCACTTTACCCAAGAGGTTGTAGGCACCGGTCACGGCTTTCTTACCGGTTGCAACGGTGTGAGCAATCTGCTCAGCCGCTTCCAGTCTTGGATACACGATTGGTACCGAAATCATCCAGATGCAATGTTGCACACTAGGCGGTAGCATTGCGACTTTCGGGAAGAGGCCCTGGTACGTTGGACCAGCCATTACCTGATGGGGATTCCTCTCAGATCGGCAGTCCGGACCCACGACGACGACTGCAGGCCCAAGGTACTTCACGAAATGCCAACCAGTGCCAGTAATGGTGAAGATATCGGTGTCCGTACTCACGTTGCGGAGAATCTCCAGAGTGGTGTGGTGCTGGAAAAGCAAGTACATTTCTATGCCGACTCGGCCAATATTCTTAAACATGTTAGAAAATTGCATGTATTCAGGGTATGATCCGAAACCGTCGAAACTGCAAGCTTTTAGTCTTCATGCCGACTTTCGCTCACGGCGAGTTTGAGAACCTACATGTCATGATCATCAATCTGCAAAACGTGCGGTATTTGCGCAAAAGCTTCTCGCAAGTATGGCTGGTCGAAATGACTGGTATAATAATGGAAATACGCATGTGAGACATCTTCTTCGTGCTTGGCCGTCCACTGAGCGTTCTTTCTATTCTCTTTGCCACTCATTGCTAGCCATTGCTTCAGTAAAGGAATCTCCTTCCATATTCTATCGGCATATATCTGATCGCCCAAGCCAAGCTGCGTATGGAAACCACCGCACTCGACGTGTTTTTGCATTATGTCCTTCCACATATGACCGATGCCACCCACACGAGCTCGCTCATTGGTATTGACATTGAGCGAGAAGTCGTTGCCAGAAGTCGCAATGAATCGCCAGTTCGTCTCATTACGGCCCGCAACTAAGAATTCATATCTTGTGCAGCCAAGATGAGAAGTTATGGCATAGGTCCATTTTGCACTAGTATGCTCCTCCATCTGTAGATCTACATCATACCGATAGAAAGTCCAGCGCTGATGAACGGAGATTTGACTGGCTTTCAGTTGGCGGGGGTTTGGAGAGAGATCTACGCTTTGGTGGATATGTATAGTGGGAGGTTGAGGAGCGTCGGTGATGAGCAATATTGACCCCAGCCAAATGCCCCTCTGTAGATCCATATTGGTATACCTTAGGTAAGGCCCGAAGTAAACTCCATTAGTAGGCGCAATCCTGTACATATCCACGCCTGCACTTGGTGGAGGTCCGGAAAAGCCTGCTACGGTAGGAGTTGAGGACTGCATGCTCATGATACTATCTTGATAACCTGGTGTGGATGGCTGAAATCCTGGAGATGCCAATGGCTTACCACTGAACGCACTAAGGCCTGGAGATGCAAGCGCATTTCCAAAGTTGACACTACCGGTTGGTGACAGGGGCTCATTGAGATTGAGAGGTGTTGGCCCCTTGGGAAACTCCCACTGTGTAGATTGGGTAGGTAGATGAATGTAGTAATACTGGCCTGAGTTGGGATCGAGGTGATGGATCCAGCCCTCTGGAAGAGGTGGAGGTGAAGCAGGCCCAGGACCAGCAGGCGCAGGAGATGATTTGGTCGGCACTTGTATAGAGGCTTGAGTGCTTGCTTGTAGTGGCTGTAGCGCCGTTGCCACTTGAGGTCTAGGAGAATCATGGGCGAATGCTGGGTGGCCTTGATTGCCGGACTCTGCTCGAGAGTTCACCGCCGCAGCCGCTCCTGCTGCACCTCCAACAGTCGCTCCCGCGGCGTCACCTCCAACTGCTTGAGAATGTTTCTCGTTGGGATAACCTTGTGTCCCAGTGGCGGAGGATCCAGCTGGCGAGTAAGCGGGTGGAGGAGACGATGTGACATGCATTCGTTGAAAATCTTGTTCCAGAGCTGCTGAGGCGGTAGTCCTTCCCACTTGTGAGGATGGAGAAGTAACTTGCCCTTGAGGGATCGGCGATTGTACGGGAGGTGAGCCAGAGGCCTGGCCGGGGCCTTGGTATACCGTCGGAGGCCCATGAGGCTGACTTCCAGGCTGCTCTGTAGGTGTCCAAGGCCTTCTCGTCTGGTCTGGCTGCTGCAGCGCTGCCGACTCTTGCGCTCTCGCAGGCTGGGGGTACTGGGCTGCTCTGTGTGCGGCAGCTGCATTCTGAGCTTGCAGGCTTGTCAATGTGGATGTACCTGCGATGCCTGCCGCAGCGTAGCGCGCTTCTATACCCCCTCCCAGCGGGTCCCCTGGTGGTAGTATCGGGGTTTCGGGGGGAGGTGGAGAGCCACGCTGAGCTTTTGTAGTCGACGTAGAGGCAGTCGAACTCAGTCTATTCACACCGGCAGGGTTCGGAACATTCAAGCCTCCAGATGGGGCTGAGTCACCAGAAGTAGACCCTCCTGGAGGTGGCCAGTACTGCTGATAGTAATCGGGGTACGGATTGACTTCAGCCTGAGACGGTTTTCGGGCGTCCGCTATTGACGATTCTCTGTCTCTCTGCGGCAGCCTCTGGAAAAGCCCTTCTTTGTCTGGGGCTTCTGGTCCCGGTGAGTCCGGCAATGGCTTCGGTATGTTTGCCCTTCGTTCTGCCAACCTGGAGCTTGACTGGGCATCTCCTCGAGGGCGTAGCGCAGACGGGTATTCAGGCACACCCGGTCTTGCAGGTTCTGCAAAACCCACGCGAGGAGGCGAAGCAGGGTATGCTGGCGAGACTCTGCCCTGTTCGCTTGTTGTTGTCCGACCGTTGGCAGGCCGTGGTTGGAAGCGTTGACGATCATCTGGGTAGGGCAGTGGAGCTGGTGAGCTCGATGCGCCGGGAGGAAGAGCAAAGGCAGCGGAGTGTATGTGAGGTGGATGTTGATTGTCGGATTCTGGGGAGCATGAGTCGCGTTTGTATATCCTTAATGGTTCGATAGTTGGCGAATCTTCGGCCAAAGGTCTCTGAAGAAACATTTCATCGCCGGGCTTGCCATGACGTACGCCGCTGGAGCTCATGCTTTAGTGCTTGAGTGAGCTCGCACAATCGGTCGGCCTAAGGAAATGAGGGTATAAATAGCCTTGTCGAAGAATTGATGTCAAGCAGGCCAGTCTGGGTGATTGCTGCGCACGAGTGATATGTGGAAATTAGGTGAAGCGGCAGGGACTGTTGATATCATGCCTTCATTCGTCACGGTCGTCACGGTCGTCACGGTCGTAATACTTACTTATGTACGGAGTACGGAGGTAGTGTTCTGCAAAGAACAAGGATCTCGTGCTGTAGCCGCCACGCTACCTAATCAGAGGGGGGCTGGTCTAAGCCGACGAATAAATCTAAGCGCCCAGGCTTGTAGACCAACGAAATAGGTACTTGCGAATCTTGGTGCTGTACTTTTCCTTTTCCTTTTCCTTTTCCTTTCTTTTATTATTGTTTCACGGCGGAGCCAGACTGAAAAACTGGCTTGCGATGTGTAGTCGCTGCCCCCACGGGCCTCAATACGAAAACTAAGCAAGTATTTGTTTGCCAGAGCCGTCTATCGATTTAATAAACAAGGTACCGCTACTTTGTACGCCCAACCGACACGATAGGACTCAAATTCCTTCAACGAGTCTCCAATACGTACAAATTTGCGCGTCTGGCTGAAGATGGTCAACGTCTGTCGAGTAGGAGTAGGAGTAAAGTACCACTCGAGGGCAACTTCCCCCCAGCTTACGACTTACGAGTTACGAGTGAGCGAGTGATTTATTTTGGTAACGGGTTCGGGCCGCCGCTTCCCGAGGATAGAAAGTGCATCATTTGCTCATCGACTTCCGCCGCCCGCGACTGTTTGACATTCATCGCAAGTTAAAGTACTTTATCACTACTCTACACTCGCTCAAAGTTCAATCATTAATTATATGTCGTAACGGTGTATCAACATTCCTCTTTGCTTGTCATTATTACTCGCTGAATATCAGTTCATTCTATACGTTGCTTTGACTCTGCCTTGTTCACTATCTAGAAGCAACAGCGCTCCTGAATCCAACAATGGCGCCATTAGGCAATCTTGTGCGTCTACTTCCACTGCACATCAACGAATTACCGGCCCACCCTGCACTCGAATCTCTGGTCATCCCTCATTCAGAACACACCAGGTCTGCCGAGAGCAGTCCATCACAAGCTGGCAAAGTCGACTCAAGCGAACGCCCCAATCTCATATCATTCATGGAGGAAGTCCTCGACCAGGCTACAATATTCGTGGATGATACTCTTCCGGCCACGTTCAAAGAAGGCAATTTGAAAAAGTCTGCTCCAGCCACAGCCAAGGTTAGACTGTTGAGTCGAAATATTTCGGAGGCAGAGATTCAGGCTATTCCCTGGATTAATTCCAGTAGGTACATCCCGAAGGAACTTCTGGCCTATTTCGAATCACGACACAGTGCATCAAGAGCGAACCTCTCTTTGTCTACCAAGACCTATCTCTTCCCTCGCTTTCCCTCGAAGGAGCTATATTGACTCCGGACTTTACGTAGGTATTCCGCGAAATTGGTCCAATGGGAGGAAACCTGCCGAAGCTTGGTTTGCCAGGAGGAGTCGCCATGCCAATCACAGCGACGAAGGAACTGCAGACCTCGACGAGTTCGACTTCGGCTTACGGCATGACCATTCGAAGCATGAGCAGTAGGACTTCCCCAGCCCCAAATTCCTCTTCTTCGGACGATATCGGTAATCTCATCTCATACTCGAGACGCCTATTTTGTGACTCCACTTCCCGTATGGAGAGATTAACTGCTGACTGGACAACCACACTAGAGAGTATACGCCAGATGTCTTCGATTCGTATAAAGTGCTTGATTGGTCCGAGCAAATAGGGTCAGCTATTGCGAATGGGTCAGCTATTGATAATTATAGGGACCTAAGCATGAGCAGTAAGCGTGTTATTTCTACCGACCTTTTTCCTTCACATCGGCCATCTCGAGAATCACAGCGTTTCTCGTTTCAGTTGAAGTGGCAACTCCGAAGAAATTTGGCTGACTATCTTGTCTGCAGTCCACGAAATGTGCCATGAACTACCGGCTATGCTTTCCAACCGCGTCTTTCCAGTCCTTGTCGTCACTGCGAAAAGGGGAAAGCACTCTTTTGTTGTTGTACAGATCCCAGTGGACATCTCGGGTCTAACAGTGGCGATGTACAGCAATGGAAGGAATTTGCGTAAAGGTGACAGCGCAGTGAAGCGGAAGAAGCCGGTTCTTGGGTATGATTGCTAATCCAACATCCCTATGAATAGTCCAATTGCTGACATTCCTTCAGTGTCTATACGAGCATTGAGCGTTGCCAGATGCTCCCGGACCAGAATGTTGAATGGGTCATGGCTACAGCTAGTGACGCAAAAGGCTGGCTACCAATGTGGGCCCAAAAGATGGGGGTTCCTTCCGCTGTTGTCAAGGATGTCGGGCTATTCATTGGCTGGGTCAAGACGCGTAGGCCCCTTTTTCGCAAAGATCCCCCATTTATCGTAAGGCGGGAGGATGGCACGGGTGTGAACGGAGACTAGGGGACCCATAGCTTGTTGACGTTGTATTTCTTGATGTGTTACTGGTGAGGCGTTCACTCGGCCTAGAGCCACATCGGCTTGTACCATATCGAACGACATTACGAAGGAAGGCAGCGCTTGTTGGAGGTTTAGGCCACGAAGATGGCAATATGGAGATGAGGAATCCCTTGAATACCTCTTTTGCTATGTTGTACTAGAAGACTCAATCACTCGACGATTTGCAGCTCTCCGGTTCTCTCCCTGGCAAATTCATCTTTCCACTCCTCCCATATCCTCTCCAACTCCTTAACATATAGGTCATGCAGCTCGTCTACATATGTCTCCTCTGGCTTGCTTGCCTGCTGCACCTTGATTGGCCTGCCCACCACGACATTGAGCGGCCGTCGGTAGGGCATCATGCCTACGTCGTAATTGAATACACCTCGCGCATGGAAGAGGGGAACAGTAAAGCCCAATACTTTCTTAATCACAAGTTGGATTTTGTGAATAAGTGGGTGCTGCTCGGGCTGCACCTGATCATACAACTCGTTTTCTAAGTAGATTCTCAAAGTCAGCATTGCCTAACGAAGCTTGATGGGATCTGGAACAATGAGGGATATCTCGAAACTAAAAACCTGGTTCAAGAGAGGAGATCTGGACTTGGGAGATGCGTACCGCCGAAAGCGAGGACGGGCACCAAGTCTGCGCCTGTACGAATGGCAAGCTTGACAAAACCTTTTCGGCGCTTGAGCACAAGACGAAGAGAGTGCGGTTGTGCGTCCAAAGATTCCCGAGCACCACCCACGACTATCGTGATGCCCCTCCCCATTCCCTCTCCATTTGCACCACCACGCGAAAGTAGATTCTCGCAAGATTCTCGGGATACAGAGGCCAGTCCCATCGATAATGTGTATTCACGGTATCTGCATTATGATCTCAGGGTCAGTCTTGCTTGTTTGAGGGGGCATAGTGAGCCTTGGAACACGTCGAGAAATTGAAGACTCCCAAGACATGTCTCAAGACTCAATATCTGGTTCAAAAGAGAAGAACATGAACTCCGAAAATACGTACAGAGGAACCCGAAAATTAGAGTCGAGGGTGAGGAGAGTATTTGTAATCCCCGGGAAAAGCTGGGAGAATCCGAGGGCTTCGGTCGCAAATGCCGCAAAGGCCCCATGCGAGATAATGCCGTGCGGGTGATAGCCAAAGATGTATTTGCGTGTTGGGGCGAGAAGGGCGGAGCGATGGAGGCGGGCGGGGAAATATGAAGCGAAAAGCGACCAGATTGGGAGAGATCGAAGGAAATTGGAGCGGTGGGATAGAGTGCCAGAGTGTCCAGCGTTGGAGAATAGGACATATATGAGGTAGGGAACGAGGATAGGCCAGAATAGTGGGATGGCGCAGAGGAGGAAGAAGGTGCCGAGAAGCAAGGCAATGCTGAGAGTGTGCCCAAGGACAACGAGAGTTTGCAGGCGTCTTTTCAGAGGAACTGAGAGGGGAGCGAAGTGGATACTGCACAGATGATCAGTTGACAGGCATGATGGCGGAATTGGAGGTCGCCATACTGGCTCTGCTCCCAGCCTGCTCCGGCTTTTCGTCCACTAACAAGCTCGCTGTTGCGCCTTGCTGCCATTTGCTTGCCCTTTCCTCTGTCCCATGCCTGCCTGATGCTGACTAGATGTTCGCCGTCCTTATCTTCGTACCTCTCCACTACTACTTGACCATCTTTCTTCTCCTTTGAGATGCCGTTCGTCTTCAATGATGTAGACTTCTTGTGAGAAGTTCGCCTAGGACTTCGTGGAGTCGCATCCTCGCCTTGTCCAGAGTAGAGTTCGGGAGGAGGTCTCCCATTCTGAGAGAAAGTGTCAACATTTCCCCCAGCTGCATCGACATATGAATTGGGCGACAGATGCTGCTGCTTCGGTTCTGTGGGCAAAAAAGGCTCCTGGTTTAGTGTTGCAGCTGTTGCCATGTCCGACTATTCGCTCCGCTCATAGTAGTCCGCAACTCAAAGACGCACTAGTCTCAAAGACGCGTTTTTTCGCGATTTGACACCCTACATTGTAATCCACCATTATTTTATTACACTATATCTATATCTTATTCTAAGTAAGAGAAACTCGTCTAAAAGACTATTAATAAGTATAAGAACGGTTATTTTCGCAGCGCTATAGCGGCCGTAGAGTATTATAATCTTAAACCGCGACGAGTATAAAGACGGCTTCGAGGATAAGCTTCTAGAAGTACTCGAATATCTATCTATATACGTCTTACTACGACTTAAAAATAGTCGCTATATAACTATATTAATCGTTTAAATAATATCGAGTATTTACTTCAACTAAATTACATTTAGAGTACTACTAAGTATATTCTAAAAATCGCTTTAAATTTGTATTATTTCTCTTAAATTACTCGATAAAGATTAGACTATATAATTTATAAAATAATATCTTAAATATTATAAATAAAAGTAAAAAATCTCTTAGTGTCGAGCGTAAGAATATATATAATATTAAGAGTATACGCGTAACGTATAAGAAATTTCGATAGAGGCTATAAAGAGAAGGATATATAATATTAGAATATTTAAAATATAAATAAGACTAGCTTTCGAATTAGCTATAAAATCGTCTATTATATTATTACTTTAAATAAAAGTAAGTCTCTATAATTCGTAGATTTAGATAATCGTAATTATATTATATTCGTAAAATATATTAGCGTCGTAGACTAAAGTATACCTTTATTTGTAATTTTAAAAGATATTTATATTCTATATAAATGGAAGAAAAACGACTTATCTTCGAATACTATATTAGCTATTTTATCTATTAAATATTTAAATAACCGACTAATATATAACTAACTACTATATTTTAATATATTTTCTTATTATCGTTAAGTAAGAGAATAAAGAGTCTTAATTCTAGACGACTTCGAATCTTACTATATCTACGAATTTTATATATTTATCTAATAATTAAAGATCGACTTATTTATACTTTTCTTATATTCTATATATATTATATAGTTATTAGATATAAAATACTTTTAATTATTTAAATATTATTATACGAAGACTATAGATTTGACTATATATCTTAAAAGTAGCGACTTTAATAGACTCAACTTTCTCGTAGTATTTAATTAAATAAAAATCTAAACCTTTACGCCTAGTATTATATATTCGATCTTTTAAAAGAACTAATTTTATACCCTATAACTCTAAAGTAGTACTTGAAAAAATTAGAAATCTAGCACCTCGCGCTATAACTTTAGATGAGTCTATATCTCTTATACTTACTAGAACCCTCTTATAAAGTCGAAGACGTTATTAAATACGATTAATAATTTAAAGAACTACTTACTACTTAGACTTTTATTATTTTAAAGAGTATATGAATAGCTATTAGCTTAGATTTATAAAAAGAATCTATTACTAATAGCTACTCGAGATAAATTATTAAGTAAGATATTAAGACTATTTATAAAGAGGCCGTAGTTAAGCGAGTATATAAGATACTTTTAAAGACGATTATCTAGAAGAAAGAATAGATATTAGTAGATTAAATACGTAAATCTCTAACTATAATAAAAGAAATAGCTATAGAAAAGGCGAAGAAGGCTCTAAAGCGAGCTACTCGGGCTAAGGAAATTTAATAAGAAAAGGTCGATAAGGCTATTAAGGCTTATATTCGAAAGCTAAATTATAGTCTATAAAAGCTAGTATATATATATTAAAATGTATTTATTAGGATTTAAGTTATAGAACGAGATCTATATAGAATTAGAAAGGAATAATAGATTTTCGCGTCTTTAAGACTAGTGCGTCTTTGAGTTGAGGACTACTATGAGCGGAGCGAATAGTCGGACTACGAATCACAAGTTGACGTGTCATGTCTAATGAAAATGAGACTGAAGCCATCCTCCCTACATACAATCTATCAATGAAGGATATAGGGTGAGGATAAATATTAATAGTTTGACGCGCTACGGAAAAGAACTAAAGCGGACGAGGAATGGAGGGGCTAGGACATTTTAGAGACAGGAGGTATTTGAATATACGACTTTATAGCTTGCAGAAATTCTCGATAAATACGAAGTTTAAGACATTTGGGACAGTTCTGAAAAAAAAAAATTATATTTGTTGCAGCAGAATATAGCTATTTCAGCCATTTGGGCTACGCAGCATGGAGAGGTCTCAACTATGCACCTATTTGGGCTATCGCAGCCATGGAGAGGCTAACACCTATTGGGCTATCGAAGAGGTCTCAACTATTCCACCTTATTGGGCTACCGCAGCCATGGAGATGTCTCGGTTATTTCAGCTAATCGGGCTACCGCAGCCATGAGTCTGTTAAGACGTACGGCGTTCTGAGTACTGGTGCCGCTGCTATGGCTGAGTTAGCTGAGTTTTAGTGGAATGGAATTGGAAGCTACTTAACCACGCACCACAGCTCTAATTTGACGAGGGCCTATTGACTATTTATTCGACCTTTTCAAGAATTCCAAAAAGGCCATATCACGTAGTTACGCATTTTGTTGAGGATCATATATACGCAGGGTGTGAATATTACATATCGGGCAATACACAAAAAATAAGTCTTGGCAGGGTTTCTACTAGACCCACCTCAAGGCCGGTGGGGCCAAGCTGAACTAAGTAGTACCCTACAGGCATTGTCAATACGCCGTGAATACGCCGTGAATATGGTAATATGAAGAGTGATATTGATGGTTTGCATATCTCCAGGCTCTCTACTTTCTACTTTCGACTTTCTACCTCCTACTCTCTGTTTTCTACGCTATCCGCTATCGATATTTCATCAAACATTGATGTTGTATCATGCCTCTTGGCCATTCAGCCGCACGTTCTTCCCGCATATCGAAAAGACCTCAGCAGCTATTAAGACGCTCTGCATCGTCGCCTTTGACCGACTTCACTCAAAGGAAACCAATCCAGCGCTCCAAGTCCAAAGTGGACGTCGCTGATAACGATGATGGTTTTTTTGGAGACCGTCTTGACGATATTGGCATTGTAAAGTCATTAGCATCTGACCTCTCCTTACGAGATGTGGCTCAATCAATACAATACGTGCACTCCCATATGTTTACTGCCATTCCAGAGGATGGGGGTTTCAACAGTACGAGGATTGCAGAGATCCTTAATTTCAGAAAATCTCTACCTCCAACTGTCACTTTACCCCATCTTCATGCTCTGACCCAATCGCCCACCAAGACGGAGCGAGAGATTGCAGAGTTGACAAGAGCTGGCATTGTCAGGAGATTGGTCACTCCTGGACGAGGCACCGGTGGGTCGAGTATAGGCGAGAGCCTGATACTCTCGAAAGATGTCGAAAGGCTACTAAGGCAAGCTGAGGAGCTCAGTCAAGAATTGGCGGGTACGTTTATACTATTTTGTAAATTCGACCCGCAGACAGTGACCCTCAATGCTAGATAAATTCTCAGTCTGTCTCCGGACAAAGCCAATGGCTCTAAAGATCCCACCTAGTACTTTCTCGGCAGCAGAGATTACAGCACTTATGCGTGCCGGCTTCCTGACATCTTCTGTTCAGGGTTTGAATTCCACGAATGTTTTTGCTGGCCCCGATTCTGGGCCTACTGGAAATTTAACCTCAATCTCAACTATTGCAAAAGCAGCGTCTGGCTCCATGGCTGCTATTGGGGGAGAAGGCGCCATATATGGTGCTGGGGGAAGAGGTGGCATCCGGCGTAGCAGTTCCCAATTGGAGAGGTCTTCTGAGCAGCAATCGTCGGAGGCGTTTGGCGAGGGAGTAGAACTGAGATTGTCTCTGCCAGGCACCGGCGCTTTTTTGAAGGTACGGCGCCTTTTTGTCCTAATCTACAATCCTTTCTTAGTCGCAAGACATTTTCCGGGAGTACTTCTTTTGTTTCGCCTTCGCTACCACTTCAAGACCTGTCTTGTAATTCAATTTGTATTCTGATGGAGAAATGCTGACACCGAAATGTCCTATAGCTCTTGAGTGCTGCTCGTTCCCATCTTGTCGCTCTTGCCATGAAGTCGAAATTTCGGGAAATCCCAATTTACCTCCTTCGTGAGAAATGGGATGGGGGGATATCTGCTGATGACCCTGCTGCCAAAGCAAAGAAATACAGGGGCGAATTTACAGGAATTCTGCCAAGCCGGACTCGAAGATGGAAGCAGTTTTATGGGCTTTCCTTTGATTGGACGTTGGCAGAGTGCCTTGGCGCAGGCCTGGTGGAAGTTTTCGAGACTGGAAGCGTTGGTCAAGCTGTCCGTATTCCTTGAGTTCCAGTTATCTTCCAAATCATTCGGGACTAGTCCTCTTTTCAGCTGGATGCTTTGGGCCTGCCCTGCGGCCTTCTGGTAATCGGGGTCGTCACGAAGACCCAGACTGGATTAGCCAAACCTGGGCTGGATTCAAGATGTCCTGCACGACCAGAGCACTGGGCAGCCTCTCAGACAAGGCTATGGACATTGTAAAAGAGATGCCGAGGTTTCCCCTTCCTTTATACCTTCAATGCTTCTTTGCAACAAAATATCGAGAGTTCTATTTGGCAGGTCCATAATCACTTGCTATGACGTCCATGGAGGCGGTCGAAACGTCCTCAGTGGGGGACGGGGAGATGCCATAGAACGTCCATGTCGGAATGGCTCGGTGAGGCCCAATCACCGTGAGCGTGATCACAGCTGGCTGTCGAGCGTCCGAAGAACTAGCCTTTGTCGGTCAGCCACAGAGAGAAAAAGAGGAAGGTGCCGGTAGTAAATGTGTGCCGAGCAGTCATCCGGAGCCGTACCAGTGTGGTCGCGGCTAATCAGTATGATAGAGACTTGCTGGCATAGCACGGGATGTAGGTGGAAAGGCGGCTAGTTTCGTCCATGGTCAGTTGCAATCTGAGGATGAGAAGTCATTTTCCGATAGCATGCGAGATGGCGTGGTCCAAGAAGTGAATGTGTATCATATTATTAGCAAAGCGTCGTTTTATTATGAGCTTACACCAAAATGTAAGAATTGCTGAAGGAATTACAGTCGCAACTGCCGTTGGGTTCGCTGGTCAAGTGAGGCAGGCAGGCAGGGAGGCAAGACATGTTGGGTCTGTTAGGTGTGTTGGGTCTAGGCATTCCGGGCCCGGTACTGGAAGCTAAAGTACATGTATCATTGCGTACCTTAATCGAGGCAACCGAGGTACCTTGAAGTACATGTACCTTGTTCAATTGGGCATGCCTTGGATTGATTTGAGGGGGTGCTATTTACAGCATCACGGAGATGGTCTCTCCCACATTTCCCCTTTCCCGGTGGTGCCGATGCACAGCGGGTAGGCAAGCAGGGTACATGGTGGTGAGGGTAGGGACTAGAGAGAGAGTATGTAAAGTAGAAACTTCATCAGCCACAAAAAAGGTACGGCATTCCTTTCCTTGCCTTTCCTTTTCCTACGTGAGTGTTGCAGCGGGGGCTACTTCCTACAATGATAATAGTGAATCGTTCCGTCGCAAAGCCTACAATCATTAAAATTAATGAAACGACATTCGATACCTTAGATCTTTGGGGCGCGACCGTGGCCTTCAAAAGGCATGGTTGCCGCCTGACCAAATCACAATTCCCAAAAGAGCGCATGTTGCTGCTCGGTGCACAAAGTAAGGTACTTGTACTTACGCCACTCTGGTGCCATCTGCCAATCTCATGCCCGTGCCAGTGCCAGTGCCACACTCGAGACTGGTGCAGCCATCAAGCAGTTTGTTACCCTATTTAGAATCTACCCCTGAAGCCTCGTGGCCTTGGACTTTCGAGACATTCGAGAATGTAAGATCGGCATCTTACTTTGAATCGTGATCGTGGCATTCGTGGCATTCGTGGCAGTGCTTGTCCCCAGCGCTCGCTCGGCTACCGAGCCGAGGTTGCCAAGGGCCCTTGCTACCAAAAGGACCTGTGGCTCAGTGGCTCATATACCCGAGGGACCCACTGAGAAAGTGTCATTACCTCCATCTTCAAGCCATTCGGGAGAAAAAGGGAAACCAAAGAAACCCCCCCCTGAATGTTACCGTATTCGTAGAGGCGGTGCTCACCGAGCCCGCCGATAACAAAAACCCATGGAAATGGTCAAACCGTCAAAGCGGATTGTGAGAGTATGCGACCTGATGTCATCGGCGTGGCGTTGAACTCTCTCTCTCCAAAGCCCAAGTGGCTATCAGAGCAAAAGCAAAGAGTCTCCGTGACCGCCCCCCTAGTATGTCATTGATTATCGTCGTTATCCCCCTACAGAGTACTTGATATAATGATCCTGCATCCCTGTACTGTACCGCATCCTTGTGGCGCTTGGAGGCTTGATGTCTCGCCGATCCCGTTTCTCCGCGACTTCCACAGAACCAAAGTATCCAGATTCCAGACACGTCTTCATTAAAGTTCCTTTTTCCTCCTACTACTGCCGATTTCGTCCATCCCGTCGCTGATCCTGTCATCAACGGTTTCTTAAAAGTAGCAAGCAATCGCTGCTACATTTGTGTAAAGCCAAATGATGATTTGACCCGCAGCCCGCGCAGACCGAAGATCCATCCCCCTTTGCCAGTCTTTCCTCAATAATACTGTACATGGACGGAAGACGTCGTGCACTTGGTTGCTCTGGCGAATACGGTTCATGAGGCAGCCGGAAAAGGCACGGAGAAGCCTGACCACCAAAGCTCACTCCACACGTCTGACACTTCAGCTTCGAGGCGCGCCAAGTACGGCACGTCGGACAGGTCGATATTCGGCATGTTGGATTTATCGCAGGAATGCACCAATTGCAAGGAAGGCAATGGTGGACAAGCATTTCCGGAAGCGTTTGATCAGCAGAAAAGCGCAAGAAGGATTCCAGGGAAGACGCCTGTGCGGGACTAATAAGGAGATTGGTCCTTATTAGCAAGGTACGCTACTGGATTTAGTACATTACATCGGAGCAACCTCCGTACTTTAGAGAAACAGAAGCCTGCTAGGTCAAAGTCATTGCCAATTTTCGTGACTAGGTAAGCCGGTCGTGCTGCCACTCTGAGTCTGTGAGTGGCAAGAATGGTGGTGAGGTGATAGCTAGCTAGGGATGACGGCAAGCAATGAATGAATGACGCGACGACGGAAGCAGCGAGGAGCTGAAGCATGAGTGACAGGCATGTCTGGCTCTCTTTGGGGGGGGGGGGGATTGGGAGTATGGGTTGGGTTGACTGGTGTTGAAAAGTAAAGTAGAAGAGATGCTGAGCCTCAGGGCCATCCCTGCCCTATGGTTCAAAAAACAAGGGTCTCAGGGTCTAGGGTTATCCCCTGGTGGTGAAGAAAGTCTGGACTGCGTTGGAGATCTAGAGCGAAAAAGGATGGGCAAACTGCTGTGGCTGGGCCTATTGCCTACCGATTATCAATTCACCCTTGCTAATTGCCACTTGAAGACAGTCACACTGGTGACGCAGTAAACATCTTCCTCCTCCCTTCTTTTTATTAGTCTTGATTGATGAGATAAAATGCTAAAAGAAGTTGTAAGTATAATCATTTAAACCCCCCCCGGATCCTATATCTTCCTCGACCACTCATGCTCATCCACACTCGCTCAAAACTCATTAATTAATAAATCCTATATCCCAAAATCAACAAAATCAATTTCATTCTTCTCCGTCCCTCATCAGCCTCTCCTCGACTTCTGCCTCTCCGAATTTCTCAACTTCTTCCCTGCGGCTTGCTGCTTGCCACCAAGATCCACTGCAAATCTTTCAGCTCTCATAGCTTCATGCACCAACATCTAGTCCGACCTTTCAAAACTGGGAATCAATCAACCGGGGTCATGAGGCAAACAACCAATCGATAGTCAGCATCGCATATTCGCCACCATCACTTGAAGCAAAGGGTATGTGCAACCTACAATGCTTTGGGTCTTTAGCCATCTTCACCCCTCCCAGTAATGCCGGATAGTTTCCTCCACCGGGCCTGCTGTCAAGTTGATCTATTCCTGTCACTATCCATTCATCCCCGCCGAATGGCCTCTATTCAACCCTTCGCTGCTGCCCTTTCTCCCATTCGCCTGCTAATTTCAGCCCGCCTGTCACTTTCTTTCCTGCGTACAATCCAATCGTGTTTCACCTTGCTTCGCAAATCTACTTGGCACGCCCGTTGAGGAAGACCCATCACTTATTCACTTGCTTGCCACTAGATTCTGCTGCAACAGGACAGGTCAATGAACATCTCACTCCCTATTCAGGAAACCCGTTCCTTCTTTCTTCGAATCAGCATCTTCTGGCAGCCTTGAAAATACATCTAGTCGGACCTCAACTTCTCCGATCCTCGCCACGGGTTGACTCTCGATTGCTTGAGGCTATCAAGCTACATATAGGAGGTAGCAGCGAAAGGTATAGCTTCAACTGCCCCTTCCCCGCGGGGCCCTCGACGTATTCCTTTACTTTCAAGTTCGGACATGAATACTGACATGCCTTTACTGTGGGTTCAGCAGTGGGCGGTCCTGCCGGTAATTGTCGAGGATAGAAATATGGTGGAAGGAAATGTGCACGGGGCAGGGTTGCCACCAGGGTCCCAAACAGTGGAACCTTCGGCGCAAACCAGACTAGGCGAGAGGGAAAGACCCACTCAAGCCCGTAGGCTTTTCCCTTCCTTTTTCTTTTCTTTTCTTTACTTCTTCCCATCATTTTGCTGTCGTCTCTATCCTTTCTTTTCCCCTCGAGTGCTGACCAAATAGCAGAAAATGCTTCCTCCGGCAATGTTCCCTACCAGTTCCAGGTGCAGATGGCGACTCCTCAGCACCAAATTCCGGGTGGCCAAATCTTCAATTTACCGGGACAACAGACCACAGGCTATCAAATGGGTCGAGGGCAATCCCCAGGCGCGTTTGGTATGTCCGCAATGGCCGGAGCGCTGCCAGAATACCAAAACACTACTTCCTCTCAGATGTCGCATCAAGACTCACAGCGGTTCTTAGCGGGCACTTCAAGTACTTCGTCAAGCTACCAGGCTCAGCAGTTTCCAGGCCAAGCGCCGTTGAGCACTGGAAATTATCCCGTGCACCCCCCGCAGTACCCTTACCAGCAAGCTTATGGTCAACTGCAGGCCAGCCCACAGTCCTCTCATCCAAGTGGACCCAACCCTGTTCACTCTTCTTACCCGGGCGGTGCCTATTTTCCGACATCGCAACAGCAGTACATATACTACCCAGGGCAGTACGGACAATCTCCCCAGCCGCAACATGGGTCTTATCCCACATCCTATGGTCCTGGGTCAACTCATGCGTATGGGCAGCAAGGGGGAGACGTGTCCGCAATGGCTGGTAGAACGATGCACAGTGGCTATCCGCCGGGTACTGTAATGCCGTATTCCTCCTACGGATCTCCTGGGGCATATCTGAGACCTGGCAGTCTGACAGGCAAGCGATCTTTCTACGCCTCAAAGTCATGGCTAACGACTGCTATAGCGGTTAGCAGAGGCAATTCAGGTTCGAGCTCGGGAAGTGTTCCGTCATCGCCAAGGGGACCGCCTCGCAAACCGAAGCAGTCTGGCCATGCACTTTGGGTGGGAAACCTTCCTTCAGGAACCGTGATCAGTGACCTCAAAGACCATTTCTCAAAAGATGCTACCAAAGATATTGAGAGCGTATTCCTCATTTCGAAAAGCAATTGCGCATTTGTCAATTACAGAAGCGAGGGGGCTTGTGCGGCTGCGATGAGCAGATTCCACGACTCAAGATTTCAAGGCGTCCGGTTGGTTTGCCGTTTACGAAGAAACTCCCAACACCTCCGCTCCAGGGGTTCCTACAGGACCTGCAGCCCTCATGCCCTCTGTGACCTATATGCAGACGGCCTTTGAAGCCATTAAGCAGAACCGTGAGGTATCTTTCCGAGCTTTGGAGGAGGCTGCTGCTGAGTCTACGCGCACAGGCGAGCCGACCGTTAAGGTCATGGATAAATACTTTGTCTTAAAGAGTCTGACAGTAGAAGACATGGAATTGAGTGTGCGAAACAGCATCTGGGCGACTCAATCCCACAATGAAGATGCGTTAAACAAGGCTTATGAGGTGAGCAATAGACCACGTTACCGTTGTGCTCAAGCTTATACCCCGAGTAGACATCAGAAAATGTATATCTCATCTTTTCGGCAAACAAGTCTGGAGAGTATTTCGGAGTGGCGCGCATGGCTTCTCCCATCACCGATGAAGCGGCTGCAGGGCTTGAGTGGGCTCCTAGAGGCGAAAAGGTGTCTGATGATCCCGACGTTCCTCGATCGATACCGACGGCGGCCACGGAATTTGCGCCCAAGGGCCGTATCATTGATGACTCTGCCCGAGGCACCATATTCTGGGAAGCTGACCCGGAGGACGATGAAATCGCGCCAATCATCGATCATGAAATTGACGACCCCGATGAAATGATACAAGCTGCGGAGAAGGCGGAAGACGCCGATGATGCCGCCCTTTCGAGTGACGCGCAGGCTTTTGGCAAGCCATTCAAGATTGAATGGCTTGCCACCAACCGACTGCCCTTTTATCGCACCCGAGGGCTTAGGAACCCCTGGAATGCCAACAGGGAAGTCAAGATCGCAAGAGACGGTACAGAACTTGAGACGAGTGTTGGCAGAAGGCTGGTCCAGATGTTCCATAAATCGCCCTCATTGGAAGGACCGCAGCCAGCACTGGCTTGGTCGCCCGGGAGACCCTACTAACCCCAGATGGAGGCACTTATCCTCTCTCGATGCTGCTGCTGGCCAGCAAATCTAAATCATTTTTATCATTCTGCTCACGAAGTCATCGAGGCAAGATGTGTACGATTACGACATATGGGACTTATGGGGACTTAAAGCAACGATTGGAATGTTTCAATGCGACTTACAGATGACTTCGCTCCCTTCCCCCGCCTTGCCATTCCAATGTCGGGCACTTGCATCGGCATGATCATTGGAGCGCGATGTAGATCTAGCTGGGCGCAACTCTGGACAACCCGATATACTTGTAATGAACCGGGGGGGGGGGCATTTGCAGGCATATATGCGTGATAAGAGCGTGGGGAGACGTTGTGTATGGTAAGGGTAAGGATATCGCGGGCATGTACACACATAGAGGATCGATCCGGATATATACATGATGGGTATTGCTGGCTGAGGTTGAGAGTTTGAGGTGAAGTAATATGTAGGAGGACCAACAAAAAAAATTATCATCGTTGTTTTTCCCTATGCCTACTGCCGCATTGCGACGAATGATTTTCGATAGACTCTACCGATTTCTGCGAATGGGCCTTCTTCTTCTGCTTTTCGGGCTTTTCTCCTCGTCTTCTCGCTGGTCGCAATCGATTCACGTATCCATCCGTAGGCCCGTAAACCGATCGATCGCCTTTCATACCCCGTCCCAGAACCTGGCCTGCCCTCGCTCGGCCAGGACTCCGACGTCACCAGCGTAGGGATTCACGCCCCGATTATCGTCTCGAAGAATACAGGTGGGGGGGTTCCAGAGTGACGACAGGAACGCCTTCGGATGGAACCTCGAGCGGTTTTTGTTTCCCTGGCAGCTGCGCGCGTTGAGTTTAGGTGTCGCTACTAGTACGAGTGGAGGGACATGTTCACATCTAGGGAATGCATCGAGGGCTTTTCAGGGTGAAAGACATTCGAGAACCGCTCGTAAGATATGGTAGACGGAGCATGCTCGCTTTGCATTCGAGCATTCTTGATGCCTGTCGAAGGGTCCTTTGATTGCTAAAGTATCCCTGCCCTCGCACGCCCGATGTACATGCGCATGGGGAAACCGTCCCTGCTCTCGACCTGCTCAACTATGCATTTCGCTCCACTTTGACGTTCCCGCTTTACAGACACATGCCGCAATGCATTACATCAATGACGAAAGAACTCCCTTCTCCCCCCCCTATGCCCCCTTCCCCTCGGGGATAGGCGAATCATCCACCCTGAATAGAATCTCCTCCAGGAAACCCTCCATGAACTCTTGCACCTCGCCTCCCATTCCCACCTGCTCCTCCCTGTCCCACTTCTCGATCTCGGCAAAGACCCCCGCCGCCTTCATCACGTACTTCCTTAGCTTCTCATGCGCTCTCTTGCGCTTTTGGTCCTTCTGATCCATGGCATCGAGCTCTGCGTTCGTCGCAGTGCGAGCCTTGTCCGCGTTCTCTTGCAAGGACTCGTTGAGAATGTGGGTGCGACGCTCGAGGGCTGCGCTGAGGGCGGGGATGAGCACTGCTGATGAGGCTGTAGGTTCTCGGTTCGGATCTTGAGCTGGAAAGCTGGTCGAGTCACCGGATTTGCGAGGGTCCCCTGCGTCGCGATCATGGTACTTGGATTGCGATGGCGACGAATGCTTGGAAGCTAGAAAGTCCTCAAACGAACTGGTGGGCAGAGGCTGCTGCTGGACGGAGGGTGAGTAATGCTGTTCACCACGCTTCTGATTGGGATTGTACGCTAGAGCTGGGAGGGTTTGGAGAGACTGGACATCGGTTTCAGGAGTCGAGTGATAGGGTGGAATTTCTGGAAGGCTGTACTTTGAATCGTAATGCGTAGGCGCATTTTTTGCCGTTGGTGAACGGTCCTGGTCACGCTTGAATGGAGGTGATCTGAGCGCAGCATTGAGGGCAGGACCCAAATTGAGGATTTCCATATCTTTAGCTAGTGATGGTCGCACTTCTCTATCATTCTCGGATGTCTGTGAATGTTTGTCCTGGGGTGTGCGTGATGCAGGTGCAGGACGTAATGGTGTCTGCACAAGAGATGGTTTGTTTGGTAGAGGTTTTGCTGGTGATGATGGGAGCGGTTCTTTGGCTGCAATGCCAGGTGACACTGGCCCAGTAGTCACTAAGGGTTTCCTCTGCGGTGACCAGCCACGCGGCTGACCGGATGGGGATGTAATTTTAACAGTATCCTCGAGGGTCTGAGACGGATTATCCCAGTCATCGTCGCGAGACTTCCGCTCCGGACTTCTATGGAATGGGCCGGACGCTGACCCGTTATATGCCCTTGTATTCGCTGCAGAATCATTCATAGGTTTTAGACCAGCACCTCTACCACCTGCGGGTCTCACAGTGCCAAAATCCCATAGGTCTTCATCGTCGGCTCTGGGATGTTGACTCTCTTGACTTGAATCATCGCTTTCATCATCTGAATCTTGATCTCCATGCACAGCTTGCCATCGCTCGTGTCGTTCAATGAGCTCTGTAAGATACGTGGTTTTTTTTGCTCGACGAACAAACGGATGCTTCAGCAACTCTTTGGCTGTCGGCCTCTCCTGGGGAGAACGTTTCAAGCAAAGATCGACAAAGTCTTTGAAAGCTTTGCTAAAATCTCCTTGCAAGGTTGGAGGCGGATTCTTGGGTATCAAAAACAGAACTTTCATTGGGTGAATGTCAGAGTAAGGCGGCTCCCCTTTGGCCAGTTCGAGAGCGGTAATACCGAGAGACCAGATGTCTGCCTTGTGATCATAGCCTGACTGCTTGATGACTTCAGGGGCCATCCAGAACGGCGTGCCTACGAAGGTGTTCTTCTTGGTCATGGTGGCAGAGAGCTGCCCAGACACACCAAAATCTGCCAATTTAACCTGGCCGTTCGCTCCGAGGAGTACATTGGCAGCTAGAAGAAAGATAGCATCAGGTACTGCTCGATATGGAGAACGGGGACATGCGCGACATCCTACCTTTGATGTCTCGGTGTAGCTTTTTGTCCGAGTGCAAGTAGTCCAGTCCCATCAAAAGCTCTCTTATGATTATAGTGATATACTCTTCAGCAATCAGGCCTGGCTTTAAGAGGTCCGCGCAACTCCCACCCGAGCAGAACTCCATTATGATCCAGAGATCCGACCCCTTCAGGAATGACCCGTGATATTTCGTGACATAGGGCGAGTGGAGCTCTGATAGGATAGAGATCTCCTGAATAATGTCTTCGACTTCGTCCTCGGCGTTTTCGACGTCGATAATTTTAATGGCCACCGCTTGGCCAGTCCGTCGATCGACTCTAGAGAAGACCATGAGCATGGGTCACCAGCATTGGTGGAGGCGAAGCCTACCCTTTATACACCTTTCCAAAGCTGCCACCACCTAAGCCATGTCAGAGACGTCACAGCTGGTACGAAGCGTTCGAACAGACCGATGCAGTTCTGTCTCGAGTACAGCGTTTCCGGGTCCACGCTCCCACCTCCAGTACGGATCTCCGCAGCCGCCATGGCTGCACAGCTTCTATCGATCCTGCTGGGCCTATTTGCGAGACCGTGTACTCTATCTGTGTTGGCCCAAGCTCTTTGAAATGATTGTCGCGGGAAGGACGTCAGCACCACTTTTGGGCCTCTGTGTTGACTTCTGAGGAGTCCAATCCTCCGGCCGGATTCTGCTGTCTTTACCAGTATAATGTACCAGTGAGAGGCAGATGTCTAATTGTATTGGAGAAAGGAGATTCGTTGTCGTCAAGTCGTCAAATCATGAAGCCGTGATGGGCAGTGGTTTTATAGACACATACGGAGCGGCGTGAGAGATGCCAGATTATACCAGCCTGAGAGTGGTGTGAGAGCTGAGGAGTAAGGAATGGAAATGGAAATGGCAATGGAAATTGGGAGCTTTACGTGGTATTCCGAGTCAGTTTGCCTGCGGTCAAAGTATAGAAAGCAGATGTGGAAGAGGACGAGGAAGCGGCAGGAGCCGTGCCTTGTGCAGTGCTGGGAGGAAGCTCTCAAGAGTCAAGGATTCGTGGATTATGGTGTGAAAGGGTTTGGCGGTAGAGAGTGTTTCAGAAGCTACGCGGATTGAGAAGACAGTCGAACATTATGGGTGCACAGGGTTGTAAGATTGAGATTTGGAAAGTCAGGAAGGCGAATGGGCATGATGGATTGGATTGGATTGGATTGGATTGGACTCAGGGCGTCAAAATGGTCGGAATTGAGTTGTCACGTTGTATAGTATGGCGGTAGTTATCGCCATTACCATGGAGTAGTAAAGTTATTGTGGATAAGTGGATAAGGTACTTTAAGATAGGTAGTATTTGTGAGCCTTAACAAAACTACTGGCTGACAATGGCCCTCTTTTGCCCCCCCCCCGTGTTACAAGTACCTTATTCTACGTGCTTCAGTACCTTAGGTACGTACCTTGCAGCGGGGGCGGCAGCCAAGCATTACTCTATTGCCTTCTATTTTAGGGAAACCGGAAACCACCTACCTACTTTACCTACTTTCAAAGGTACTTTAGTTACTTACCATGATTACTTCCCTTATCATGTACCTACACCTATTTCCTCTCGCTGCGAAAGATTGACTCGCTCGATGTTAAGCTGGCGAGGACTGCCCCTCCGGCAGGTGCCCCGGAGAGTTCCCCATATATATATGGAATGAGCGCTTTACTGTTGCGCAGAAGATTGTAACCGCTTCACGCAAAGAACGTTGCACGACATGCGTCAGCTCACGGGAACATCAGCAGCCAGCAATTCAACTACGCCAAGTAAAAATGGCCAGTAAGCAAACATTAACATTCAGATCACTGCCCTAGTAAGGTATACCATTCGTCAACAATTGAAATTGATCATAACCCTTGGTCGAATAGCTGCTGTAGCTTTTCTTGATCAAATCCCTCATGAAGTCGGCCGCTTCTCTCTCGCTCTTCTCCAGCACAAACCTCTGCCGCAGATGAGCAATAGTCTCCGGCTTAAAGCACGGTAACCCACTGCCAAGCATGAGCACAACAATGTGACACAGCTTCTCCGTGTGCTGTCTCGAGGCCAGAAATGCCTTGATGCAAAGCTCCTCAAACCACTTGTATGACTGCGACGACGTACTGCCCCCCATCACCGCCACCATTTCCGAGGTGAGCTTGAAAGGCGCGCGCTCGAAACGGACGCCACCGGGGGCAATGTCGAAGCAGAAGCCAAAATCAATGTGCAGGATGTGTCCGGCGTCGTCTACCATGATGTTTCCATTATGTCGGTCCTTGAATTGGAGAAGGTAGGAGATCACCGAATAGGCAGCCATGCTTTTGACAAAATTGTTTCGCGCTTCTTGAAATCTGATTGAGTTCTCGGCACCATACTTCGACACAAAATAGTCGTACAGTCCGTTGACCGCTTCTCGACCTAGCATGTCCCTCGATATCGAGTTGGGCAAAACGTCAATAACGCCGCACCCAGGGGCTGTGGCCGTCACTCTGTACGGGTAGACATAGACATCCAGGCCGACGTTGTTGAATATGCCTCGGAATGCGGCAATCATCTGCAAGGCCAGCACGTCTTGCCGACAATCGTCCCCTACCTTGAATATAGCTGACTGCCAAACTTCGTAGGTATCTTCTTGCGTGACTGGTCCGTTTCGGCCTGTCTCCTTGTTTTGATTTGTCCTTTCCAGCATATTATCTGTCCCTTCCATACCGCCGCGGTTCTTCTTGATGCGGAACGTGGCCATGTACGGCGCTTTCGCGTGACTTTGTAGGGGTTTACCAGACTTTCGATCAATGCCGATCACGGTACCGTCAGGATTGCTAGGTAAGTAAACCCCTACTTCAACCTTGATCTTCCGCAACTCCTCCTCGATTTTTTGCTTCTTCTCCGGTTTACTTTTCTTGATGAAAGGTCGAAGCTTGCCAGAGATATCCGTTATCTCATTGAAGAAAGAGAATTCTCGCTCGTAGAACGACTGATCTGTTCCCGAGAAACTAGCAGTCATCCTGTTTTTGACCACGTCTAACGTTGGCTTCAGCGAGTCCTCGATGCTTGAGTCTTCGTCTTTGTAAGCGTTTGCAGTCATGTTCCAGATAATCTGGTGAGCGAAAAGCTGCGAGAATTTTGCAGTCTCGATGATATATCGCTGAACGTACCCAAGTACATCGTAACGGAGTGTTTGGACGATTTGAGGAACATAGAAGAATGTCACATCAACAGAATGATTTTCCAATGCTCGCATGGCATACTGGATGATGAACGGGTCGTTGCGATATTCCGGCAAGAAGAACGTGACTGCCGTAATGGGATTAACAGGAGCCCAGTAGAGCAGATACTTGAGATGGATTGAGATATCAGCTGGCAGCGAAGGCCCGATGAGAATGTGAAGTGCGTCAGGCTCTGCAATCGCACGGATTGGAGACCTCAAAAGCATCGAGCGAACCTCGCTGGTAAGCTTTGAGGATACGAAGCGAACAGTGAGTTGTACAGCAAGGCTAGTGTTCTCTGTCCATGCAGTCCTCAACACCGAGGAGAGCATTGCATCTGAAGGAACCTTGCCGTGGTGCCCCGACGAGAAAAGGTGTCGCTTTTCGTGATCAAGCGGGTAGAGCCAAACGACCAAACGCATGTGCTCGTCTTCGACCAGCATCAAGAGTAAGTCTTGTTTTGTAGCAAGCGATTGCAGTGTTCCCATACATTTCGCGAAGAGAGGAGATACAACTCGTAACGCGGATTCAACATCGGCCATCAGACGAACTTCCGCTTTGATCTGCAGGCGATTTCCTCCAAATGACCATCGTGGTGGATGAGAGAACCAAGACAGCGCAGCGCTTAGGATCGTATCTTTCAGTCTCCATCGGGCCGCTTGATCGATACTGGTCCCATGTCTGAGGATGTTGAGCCCAAACAGAATCACTTGAAAGTGGAATTCACGAGCTAGAGGATGTCCGGCAGAGCTTTTCAGTCCTTCCAGAGTCCCAACTATTAGCTTATGAAATATGCGCTGCGAATTTGGACTCCCAAGTCGGCCGGCGTTAAAGTGGCTGGAGAGGAATTGCAGTATTCGAAGATGAGGAGCAATCAGATTGTGAGCTGCTTGCTGTTTCTTCATCAAGGCGGTCTTCTCCGAAGGCGCAAACTCCTCTTTGATGTAGAACGGGTCAAGGTGTTGGAGTTTGCTGCTGAAGACCCCCACATGATTCCTTACAGTCTTCTCCCAGTCCTCTGCAATTATTGCAAGGAGTCTTGGCTCCATACATGGATTCTCGTTTATGACGCCTAGCCACAATGATACACCGAGTTTAATGGACTGTTTGGTGAACATTGCGAAGGGTATGCCTACAAGATGTTGTACGATGGCACACTGATCCTTGTTAGTTCTGCACAGAAGAGCCGCGGCCCGTCGAAGTATATCACGCAGCTCCCCAATAGAAACAAATCGGCTATCCAGCGCCCGACGTTCTAGATGAGCCAAAATGGCTTCATCATCCCCTGCCTCTGTTGTACCCCCCGTCTGCAGGTTGGTCTGCCTTCCCCTTGAGATGCAGAAAGGCTGCCCACTCTTGATCGTAATCAGGTAGACCATCGGCATATCTATACTCCTGGCGTGTGGTGTATTGAGCAATAAAATCGGAGGCGGTATTGATATTACACTCCCCATGATGGTCAATGACTGCTAGTTTCTGATCCGCCGACGGTATGACGGAACCCATATCCAATGCGAAGCTTCTTCCTAAAGACACATGGCCATATGCTCCCTCATCATCGTACTCAGAAAGGTATGTCTGTAGCAACCCTTTGACATCGAGAGGCGCGATATTAATGACAGCCGTCACCCATTTTTTTGCCCGCCTGTAGAGGTTGTTGAGCGTGCTTCTTCGAAGATCGTAGTCATCCGAAAGCTCCACTGACACTCTTGCCCGCACAGACACGTAATTTGCTTTCAATTCATATTCATCTAGCTCTGCTTCGAGACAGCTGGTCCACATGATTGAAAGCAATTCTAGAAGAGCAAAGAGAGACGACTTCTGGCAGAGAGAAGAGGGCATCTGACTGATGATTTTGTCGGCGCAAGAAGCAGCGACTTGCTGTACTCTAGGAACTCGGTGACAGCAGCCAGTAAACATGGATGCTAGCTGTGTGGCAATCAAGGGCGCTGAATTGTCTTGGTGAGGGGCAGTCATGTTTCTCCTCAGGTAAACTGTCATAACATCGTCTGCTATCGCTCCCATACAGTTTTCCATAGCGCTACCATTGAGACTCGGATCCAAGAAATAGGTCAGGACATGAGAGCAATCACCCGCACCTGCCCTTAGTGTCTCTACTAGGTATGCAGCATTGAGAAATATAACCTTCGGATAGCTCAAGCCTCTAATATCAGATTCACATTTTGGCAGTAGGAGAATGAGACGCTTCTTCTGTTCTGCAGTGTGGGGAGCATTCATTCCTCGTCGCAGTACAGTATTGAGCTCGATTTCGCTCTCGAACTGATCAGCGCGATCTTCAGGGATGAGCGGCCTCGACTGCATTGCAAGAGTACGTAGCTCGTTGGCGCACTGTTGGCCGTATGAGGAAGTTGGGGTGATGCCGTGCACAACCACGTTGAACCATGCTTCGTGATGGAGACGTGCAACATTCTCGTCATCGCTAATACCCTCTTTGTCTGTTCTGACAGTTGCAAGAGTAGCCAGAGGCGGGAGCAACTCTATGATTTCTCGAGCGGCAAGATCAACATCGGCCTGATGGGTATTGTCGCTTTCATGAACGTCTCCCTTGCTGACGATGGTCTCGAGCAGATGGACCAAGTAGATCTGATATAAGGGCGAGTCATGGCCCAAGGCTTTTGCGATGAACAGTCTGGCATTCCTCACCTATATGCAATGGTAAGTACTAAAAAGGCAGTCAAGGTGAGTTAAAACTTACCGTGTCCAAAAGGATCTGGTTACCTCGAATGATAGCATCGTGACCTAGTCTGGCGTACAGTTTAAGCAGCGATCTGAACTCGACGAAACCCCCAACCGTGGCGAGTCTGGCAGTTTCTGTAATAATATGTAGGTCTATTGTCAAGCTCACTCGCCCGAGCTTCTGTACAAGCATTGAATGCGCCAGTGCCGTAATTTTGTCGTCTTGACAGATGTTTGCGATGCTGACAATGGTACGCACTATGCTGCCATAGGCAGCGGAAGTCTCCTCCTCGCCACTTAAGTCCAACGAGATGGCACTACCAGTAGAATGCTGGGTATATTGTGCAGTGGTTCTAGAAGCATTTGCAGTCCCATTTAGCACGTCTGAGCTACCAATAGTCCTGTCGGTACCGGCTCGAGCGCTTAGGACATTGCCGAGCGAGTAGAGGCCCGTGATAATCGCATCTGGTGGCAACATACGAAGTATTAATGTCAAGCTGCGAGCGGCTACGATGACCGTTTCGCCTTTGACGCCGCCTTGCACAATGAATCTTGGCAGCGAGCGACTAAGATTGGAAGCGATCGCAGGAGAGAATTTGGCAACTACAGCCATTGACTTTAGTACGACACATGCTAATGTATCATCAGCCATCTGAATGGGATCAGCCATAGTATCTTCAAGCCACGACAGGAGAACGTCAGCGTCAGCAATCTCCTCTTCAACTATCATGCAATTTAGGAAAGTGTGCAAAGTGTGTGCTTTGACGGCAAAGGCCAGCCGCTGCTGCCACGCGGAGCCAAGCTGAAGATAGTCGGATCCGTCTTCGAGTAGACGCATTGATTCAGCTGCAACATCAGACAGTAGTTCCAACAGAGACATGGTGGCATTCTGGTGCTCGCGAGGAGTGAAATGTTCCTCGGCCGTCACTATATCGAAAATGTCTGTCTTCTGTAACTTCTCGGCCGGAGATACTTGTAACGAACTGCAGGACACTAATAGTCTCATGAATCCACGCTGTAGAAGCATCGCTCCCAGCGGTCTTCCAGAGGCGGCATAACGTTTTGTGTATGACTTCCAGGTCATCAAAATTCTCGAAGTACTTTCAGCAGTGCGAACTGAGGAGAAAACACCCTCCACTGAAACCATGAGATCTTCATCGAGTATTTGACGAAGTATTTCTACCAAGTCATACCTTTCGGAGATACTGTAGAAGTTTGTGTAGAGAGAAGCAGCCTCTAAGAATCCCAGAAGGGAAACTGACACGGCTGCAATCTCAAGGTTTTCTTCAATGCCATTGTCGCTGCTGGATCCTTCAGAGTGGGAGCGCTTTCCAGAAGCAGCGTTGACGGTGCTAAGGCAGTTGCGTAAGTATCCTGTTATGCAGGCAAAAATTGGGTCATGAAGGTCTGGATGCCGAATTCCGATTACAAGTAGAGCGCTGGTCAAGTTAAAGCTGAGTGCTTCCCATGGTGATGGTTCGATCAAGCGTAGGAAAGGCGAGGGGGCAATAGCTTGAGCATGTGCCTCACCCAGGTAAGGTGACAGTTGCCTGAGAAGCCGTTCTGCGTTGTCCACATGATCCAGCAGTGGCGCGGCTTTACACAAAGCAAATAGTACGTCAAGCTCGGACAGGCTAATTGGAGACTGTGAAAGGGAGTGAGCAGAGTGGGGTGATTCGGCAGAAGGGCAAGCATGGTAGAGTCTGGTCAGGTCTGGCTTCTTGGAGGCTTTTGTTGATGTAGCAGACAGTGAAGCTATCTTCCGCAATGCTTGCGATCGGAGACGCGGGGAACTAGACCTGTTAGCTTACAAGAATAAACACAATTGCCCATGCAGCTTACTCTTCCATTATGAAAGTCTCTCGGCCATACTTTAACAGTTGTTGATTGAGTGTACAAATACCCCAGGTCGAGTCAGTGAAGCAAGCTACTCTAAAATCCGACGCTAAGAGACGCGCGAATACCCGTAATGACGCGGCGGCTGTACTATCCTACAGGTATCGCAGGTTGACCAGTCTTCCTGAGGTAAAGTAAAGTGAAGTAAAGTAAAGTGAAGTTCTTGATTACCTTACCTTCCGAGCCTTGAACACATCCCCCTCATCACCTGTTGGTGGAATACCCTTCTATGATTGCAACTCTTCATTCAAGGCCTTGATAGCTGTTCCTCCTCACAACGGAAATCCCAGGCATGAACATGACACCAGGCACCTTGACTACCAAACTTTACACTCAGCTCTTGTACACTACTTTCTGAGTCCTTCACGCCAGCTTTCCCATCACTCCTTTTACAATATAAAGACTACACTACGTATTGCAACATGGATGAGGACACGATAGCACAGTTCGCATCCATCACAGGCTCTTCACCTGCTCTAGCTGCACAGTATCTACGCCTCGCGGATAATAACACAGAACAAGCCATCGAGCTTTTCTATGCCAACGAGGGCGCTGATTTGGAGCCTTCATCACAGTCTCCGCACTCCTCGCATCCCCCACCAATCCCAGCACCATCGACTCGACCCACAGGACATAAGCGAGGTTACCAAGATGAAGAAGGCGTCGTGCACTTGGACTCAGACCAAGAAGATCTAGACTACTCTGATGATAATGCCGCCGAGACCTCAGGGCAAAACCGGAGAGAACTCTCAACGGCGGGTAGAGCAACATCCGCGCTGCAAACCTCATCCAACGCAACTCCTCCAGCAGGCCAAGGATCCATGCCTGTTGATGACGATGAAGCTATAGCTCGAAGGTTACAAGAAGAGTTCTACGGTGCAGCAGGTAGGAGTGGTGAAGTTGGTGCTGAGGTATTGGATGAGCACGGATACAGAGCACCTATAGGACGAACTACAGAGACTCTCGTTGGCCCGGGATCCTTTGATCCCACTGATGACGACGAGATGAGGGCGGCGGTCATGGAGCAAATGGCAGCCAGAAGACAGCCGCCAAGACATCGAGGTGAGCAATTCTCCTAACATTGACAACACCTTTGACCACAATACTGACAGGCACAGATCGTCATGGTATCTTCAACCAAGCCACTACACCCTCAATATGGAACAATGCAGATAGTCGCCCCGATGCTCATCGAGATCAACTTGCTCGAGCAACGGCAGGAGCATCAGAAGCATCCTCCAAGTCAAATCTACTTGCAGAAATGTATCGACCGCCTTTCGAGTTAATGTCGAGGTTACCTTGGGACCAAGCTCGACAGCAGGGTAAGGATGGTGAGAAATGGATCTTGGTCAACATTCAAGACCCATCCATCTTCGATTGCCAGGTGCTGAACCGGGACATTTGGAAGAATCCTGGAATTATAGACACGGTCAAGGAAAACTTCATCTTTATGCAGTACTCGAAGGATGACCCTAAAGGCAACCAATACGTGCAATACTATTTTCAAAATAAGGATAACCAAGAGGCATACCCTCACATTGCCATAGTCGACCCAAGGACGGGCGAACAAGTCAAGGTCTGGTCAGGTTCACCCACGCCGAAAGCGATGGATTTTCTTATGCAGCTACATGAGTTCCTTGACAGGTACAGCCTGAAGGCGTCTGCGAAGAACCCAGTGGTGAGAAGAAAACCAGAAGCAAAGAAAGAGACACAAGTGGACAGGATGACTGAGGAACAGATGATGGAAATGGCGTTACAGGCTAGTCTTGCAGGGACCGAAGGGCGACGAGATTCTGACCCTGACGAATTGACACGCAGTGTTGGAAATGTGGGGAATGAGCCTGAAGGAAAGGGAAAGGAGCCAGAGGATTCGGACTTGATGGATGTCTCAGAGCCCACACATACGAACGGATCAGCCTTAGCGGCTGCTTCCCTGTTTACCGCGATTTCCTCGTCAAAACCTCACAATGAACCACTTCCGGACGCGGCCAGTATCACGAGAATCCAATTTCGTCATCCAAACGGTCGAGTGGTTAGGAGGTTTGCGCTTACAGACCCCGTGAGGAGAATATTCGAGTGGCTGAAAGCTAGCCCGCTTGAAGGCAAAGAGGGTCTGGAGTTTGAGTTGATCTTCATGCAGAAGAACCTGGTGGAGATGCTGGACGATACCATCGAGCAAGCGGGCTTGAAGAATGGCACCGTGATGATTGAGTTCATAGAAGGATGAGGATACAGCGAACAGCGTGAGCCCAGCATAGGAGCTATACCCACAGCCGTTTAGACACTGAATCAAGACTAATAGACATTGCTTCTAATGGTGCCCTTGACTCCGCATTGGTATCCTGCTTGCCCCTTTTATGTATCTGATAGCAGAGCCATTCATAGTTCATTCTGGACGATTCTAGACACTGTTTTAATCCAAAGCACCCTAAAAGTAGACGAGTCGGATGGTACACTTCCAATGGCAAACATTCACTCTTACGCTGGAATTAGGCAGTGCAATGATTACTTGCCTCCATCAAGAGTTCTCACAAGGGTACTGTTCACCTCTCCAACTTCAAAACGGACCTGAAGTAGGAAGATCTTTCGGTGCTATGTTGGATTTACTCGAGTCCTTGTTTTGAGCATGTGTGGGACTTCGTCGAACGTGGCGATCAGGGGATCAATGTACCTGGAAAGAACTTTGCTTGGCCTTTGGGGACTAACAATTTCCAACATAAATGCTTACGGCTATTCACCATAGCCCTGATGCAATCGTCTCACATCCTGCGCACCGTCGCCATCAGAATCCCGGAAATCTGATGGACAGAGCGTCAAACGTCATGGCTACTTATGGAAACGAAATCTTCTCGACAAAGTCCTGCGCTGGCAAAACGCCATGTCCCTGCATTTTCATAGCTTGTTTTTCGGCTTCTCCCCACACTCTCAAGATGTTCAGTCCCACCACTTTAGCAGCATCCACGTCTGAAACCCCCATCTTCAAAAGCTCGGCCACTAGATCCGGGTATTTGCTGACATCGTCTAATCCCTCAGGAGTCTTAGGAATACCGTCAAAGTCGCTTCCCAAGCCAACGTGGTCATAGCCAATCAGATCCCCAATGTAGGTGACGTGTCTTGCGACTTGGTGAAGAGTAGCATTCGGGGGATAGAAGTCTGGTATGCCAGTCTCGGAGTCTGACGGGAGACAAGAGATGAAGTCGGGTGAGAAATTGACCATTACGATTGAGTTCGTTTTCTTGACTAGTTGGAGCACGTCGTCTTGGACATTACGAGGGTGTGGGCACAGGGCATATGCCGAGCTGTGGGAAAAGATAACAGGAGCGATGCTGCCATTACCCTTCTCCGGACGAGCTCCCAAGACGTCCAGCATCGTATCCTTGCTGACATGTGAGAGGTCGACTAGCATACCCAATCTGTTCATTTCCGTGATCATGACCCGGCCGGCTTTGCTCAGACCACGCCAGTAAACGTGACCTGCAACAGTCCGCCCCGAAGAGTCCGTAGTGAGTGCTGCATCTGCAAAAGCATTGTGGCAATTCCACGTCAGTGTAGCGTATTTGACACCTAGCGAATAGTAAAGTCTAAGGTTTGAAAACGAGTTGCCAATTTGATGCAACCCTTCTATACCTATTGGCGAGATAAGCTGATGGTGGTCTTTGAAAGCAGCCAGAGCACTGCTACTATCGATATTTGAGGAGGAGAACACTTTCGGGTAGGCTGCCGTCAAGCGTCGAAGAAGATCCAGCTGTGAAAGTGTCGTGGATACGGCTGTAGTCTACTGTAAGCGTTGTCCTTGCCATAGATTTTCTGGTGTGATGAGACAAAAGCGCTCACACACAACATATTAGAAGACAGCACACGTAGCATGTTGATGACTGACCTTCAGCATAATTCCCATCCGAAAAGTCAGTGCCATTTTTAGGACACAGTACAAAGGCTGACCAGAAGGCTCCTCCAACTCTGCCGTCTTTCAGGCGAGGAAGGTCAACTTGGGCGGGCATTCCACCGTCCTCCCACTTGTCTGTAAAATTCTTGTCATATATGTTATTCTGAAAAGCGTAACGTATCAAAAAGGCAAGGTCATTGTGACCATCTGATCCTGCTGTTAGAGCTCGTGCTAATACAATGACGAAGGAAGAAAGCTGGACGACCTATCAGAGGCGTTTCTGCTAAGATCTTATCAACCCTGGCCTTGACTGTCAAGTCATCGTCTTCGGGGGCCTTATTCCATGGAGGGTTGAAGGCATCGGGTATGAGCAAAGAAACAAACATTGCGAGACCCACGACTATAATAAAGATAACAAGGAGGGTTCGGAGGGGAGAGATATCGCCATAGCTCAGACGTGTTTTTTGCTCGCTCTTGTCTTCGATGTCCTCTGGATAGTCGAGGACTTCATTTTGGATCTGATACTGCGACTGGGAAGACTTTGAGAAACCGTAGCCCGAAATTTCAGGGGCTGTATTCCCACGAGGTAGAAGAGGATCTGTCTCTGAAGACATCTTCCCTTCTACAATGATACTTTGGATTAGAAGATGAATTGCAGGAGGAAGAGACTGGTACCAGACATGCCTGCCTGGACGGACCTGGCGCGGCTCAAGCCTGCAAGGCTTGGCAATGGCTACTCGTACTCGTAGCGGAGATCATCCCGCTGATGCTGCGACATAAAACAAGTTGAATTTGGTGTTCACCTACGGCCTGCTCTGCCGAATCGGAATTGCTTCAGTAGACCTACCTTCCCATTCAAGGCGCCTTATCCCATAATGCATTCATTATGTCCCTACAAATGCCTGCACCAACGCCAGTGCAGAAGGCATCGCTGACTCGCCCGAGGCAGAAGTACTCCGCTGCCAGAGCCTTCTACCTTACCATTCTCGTGATATCAGCCATTGCCATATTGAGCCTGCTCAAGGAGAGAAGAATTGAATATGATATCAATGCCGCAAATCGTGCGCTCTCCAGTCGACCCCGTCTTACCATCAGAGACGGGCTTCTTCATGGGAGCAGTGGCGAGCTTGTGCGGAGGGATCAGGCAGTACGTTGGGAGTTTCTTTGGAGGACACCCCCAGAAAGATTTCCATCAAGCTCATGATGCTTTACACAGTGCCGACTCGTCAATACCGTTAAAGACAAATGCGCTTTTGTCCACGCCAACTGCCCAGACGAGGAATCAGGTCTCTTTTCCTACCTACAATTCTACTATTGCAAGCTACACAAGGCTCAACCTCTCGCCTTCATTATCTTGATAGTATGGCTCGGCCTCCTCTTCAGTACTATTGGCATTGCTGCAAGCGACTTCTTTTGCATAAACCTTAGCACGATTGCCAGCATCTTGGGAATGAGCGAAAGCATGGCCGGCGTTACCTTCTTGGCCTTTGGAAACGGAAGCCCGGATGTCTTTTCCACGTTTGCTGCAATGAAGACAAATAGCGGAAGCCTGGCTGTTGGCGAGCTCATTGGCGCTGCTGGATTTATCACTGCTGTAGTGGCTGGGTCAATGGCCTTGGTGAGACCTTTCAAGGTTGCAAGAAAGAGCTTTGTTAGAGATGTGGGCTTCTTCATTGTTGCCGCAAGCTTTAGCATGGTCTTTCTAGCGGACGGTCACCTACATCTATGGGAGTGCGCCGTCATGGTCGCATTCTATGTGTTCTATGTGGTTACGGTGGTTTTCTGGCATTGGTATTTGCGCCGGCGATCTCGTCGAAGATTACTAGAAGACGCAGCAAGGGGTAATTTCCATACCCCCGGAGCAGATGAAGCGGAGGACGAGCCATACCATGATGAAGACGACGAGGACGCTGCAGCAAGAGGAAGTCGGGCTCCAACTAGAACAGTCTCGGCCAACGATTTTGCTAATCTGGAGAGAGGAGGGAGTCCGATGATTAGACCCATGGATGAAGAAGCGGATGCAGACGATCAGACTCGAGACCGTTATCTAGCCGAGATCAGTAGTAATATGAGAGTCAGCCGACGGAAGCCTGGAGAGCGTAGGAACACCATCAACCCAATTAGGCCAAGTCTGGTCGGCGCACTCGAGTTCAGAGCAGTACTATCGTCTCTGCAGAAATCGAGAAATATCCAGACTATTCCTATTAACCTTCGCCGATACTCAGACGATCCATCTTATTCTGCAGCGCAACAGCAGGACAATTATTCGACGGTTTCCAATCCGGAAAACAACTATGACGATGTCGACGCTCATGATGTGGCTTCTAATGCTTCTTTATGGCCGAGTGCGGATGGTGAACGGACTGGTCCAAATCGCATTCGCGCTGTTTCTGCAAATGATGCGGTGGGTCTTCGACTCGACCCCAAGACCTTGCAAAATGCACGTGTGCCAGAGATTGACCTCCTAGGTGCAACGCCACCAGGACCGGGAGGGCTGCAGCCCGTGGATGGAACTGCGGATCGTCGACCCAGCGGAAGGTCTCTAAGTCCTCCAGCCCCAACTCTGTCTTTATCGCCTGCGGCCGACGAGTTCGGATATCTTTCTATGAGTCCTGCGTCCATGTCTCCTTTGCAACACGGTCGGTCCGGCGAGCTTCTGGCTCCACCCGAGGACAGCCTTCTTGGGTCACGAAACCATGCTCAGTCTCGAGTCGACAGCCAGCAGGATAACGCCGGCTTGCCAGAAGATTTACCAAAGTTGATTGGGAGACCAAGCGTACCTAGGATACAGATACCGCGGTCTTCAGGATCACAGTCGTCAAGAGGTTCAAGCCCGCACTCACCGTTCCCAGCTTACCACAACGATCGGAATTTTGTATCTTCGTCACGCACACCGAGCATACGATTACCTCCGTCTAGTATCGGATCCGAGTCAACTTTTCACCAAAATCTTTATCAAGAACCTGAAGAGAAGCCGATGCGGTGGTGGCCTTATAAAGTCCTTCCATCGCCGCAAATTCTCGTATCAACTCTGTTTCCCACGCTCTACTCATGGAAAGACAAGAACCTTTGGGAGAAGCTCTTAGGTATCGTAGCCGCACCAAGCGTCTTCCTCCTTGCCATTACCTTGCCTATTGTTGAAGTCGATAAGGAGGAGGATGGAGTCCTTCCAGATATTGTCGATCCGGATCCAGGTCTGCTTTCGCCCCGTCGTTCTCGATCCCGTTCACCCTCAACGGTTATTACAGCACTCCCTCCAGACAGTCCTTCGACGGAGGCCGCTAGCAACGGCGAGGGACTGGAACCGCCGTATTTTGGGAAATATGGAAAGCAAGTGACTGTGTCACCATCTATCAACATTGTGGAGCCTGAGAATGGCAGTGCCATAAAACCTCTGCCCGAGGAGCCTGGGCCTCTCCACCCGCCGGGCCACCAGTCCAACAGTGTAACGAACTCACCCAGTCCGACCCAGCCACCTTCATCCCCTAAAGAGTGGAACCGTTGGCTTGTAGCTACCCAAATTTTTACGGGCCCCTTGTTCATTGTCGTCCTGCTCTGGGCAAACACGGACCCCAGCCTCTCGCCCCGCAACCTCCTTCTACCGTGTCTTTACGCCCTTATCGCTTCCCTGCTCGCCTTTGCCATTCTAATTCTCACCACCACACCTTCTCGTGCTCCCAAACACCGCTATTTGCTCTGTTTCTTTGGTTTTATCATCTCTATTGCCTGGATATCTACCATTGCCAACGAAGTCGTCGGCGTCCTCAAAGCCTTCGGAGTCATCCTTGGCATCAGCGACGCTATCCTAGGACTCACCATTTTCGCAGTTGGAAATTCCCTGGGTGACCTCGTCGCTGATATTACCGTTGCAAGGCTCGGCTATCCTGTTATGGCACTAAGCGCCTGCTTTGGTGGTCCCATGCTGAATATTCTTCTTGGTATTGGTCTCAGCGGACTGTATATGACGATCCAGGGAGGCGAGAGAAGACACGAGAAGCATCCGGGGCGACCAATACGATACAAACCATATCAGATTGAAGTGGGAGGAACATTGCTGATCAGTGGAGTAACGCTTTTGGTCACGCTGGCAGGGCTGTTAGTCATCGTGCCTTTGAGGGGCTGGTGGATGGATAGGAGGGTAGGCTGGGGTCTTGTTGCTTTATGGTGCGCCAGTACAATCGGTAATGTGGCTGTAGAGATAGTGGGTTGGGGAAAGGAATCGTAAGGAAGAATGCAGACAACGCAGCGGGAAGTATTGCATTAGATGGCGTTGTATATCCTGGAAAGTCCTTTTTGTTGTCTTGGATAACAGAGCACTGAGATTGGTCACACACCACAGGCATTCATTTTCATTCACAAAGCCGTTTTTGCCCGTTTTCAACAGACCTAGCTCTACATACTTACATACGCTACCTTGTCAAATTCACATAAATAATTCCATGCACTTTTCGACAGACCTTTCTCCACAGACCTTATCGCCCCTCTTTCAAGGACGTGCCTCCGTAGCGCATTTACTTAAGCGTCTTTCATCACCGTAAACCTCTTCACTACTCGCTCGTGAGGCTCGACTTACGTGAAAAAGGCTTCCAGTCCGGGATACCGGGTTGAGATATAGGAGCATCAGACGAACTGCAAGCACCCGATACAACCATGATATCTTAAGGCACATACTAACAAAGCAGCCAAATTTCACCGGCTCGTACCCGGACAAAACAGGAGCTCAGCCACATCTCTGCATTGATCAAGGCAGGCAGGTAACCAGTGGTAGCGGGAATTTGCAATCCTTTTGTTGTCTCGGAATCTTCGCGCGTCTTCTTCTATGCCCTTCCGTCTTGTCTCTCAATGGTTCTGGAAGCTATGTCTACCTATATAATCAGCCCACTAGGTCCTCTGCTCCTTTCGTCCACCATCATCGCCGATTGTTGAACCGAGCAAAGGTGTCCGGCCCCCACTCAGATTCGGTACCAATACTACCAACCATGACCACGCCCACGCCTGAAACAGCATCAGCATCAGCACCCGCACCCACACCGAGCAACACGATGACCCTCCAAGTAGGCGAATGCCGATTCGTCACTCGCCCAGCAACACTGACCCGAGGTAGCGACTTCTTCGCTCGACAGCTTTCTGGCCGATGGCCTGACATTCAACCAGACGGATCCTACTTCATCGACGCAGACGGCGACGTCTTTCAGCACGTGCTGCGTTATCTTCGCCACGAAATCATGCCAATCTTCTATGACAACGTGAAGGGGCATGATTACGCACTGTACCTCGCTGTCCTCGAGCAAGCCAGGTACTTCGGGGTGGAGCCACTGCAGAAATGGCTTGAGGAGCAGAAGTATCTGCAGGCGGTGAAGATTGTGCATTCGGCTAGGGTATTGGTGGGTATTGAGGATGTGTCTGGGCCGACCGGGAGCCATGTCAAGATTGAGCACCACGTTACATGGAAGACCAGAAAGGTGTACGTCTGCCCGCGGGCCATCACCGGACATATGGGCAACCGGGACGCTTGTGGGAGATTGTGCAGGAACGCTCGGGGTGATGCCGATGACGAGTATGAGGATGAGGAGGTTTTGAAGATCTTGGAGGTGCGCAAAACAACTATGTTGGATCCGAAGATGCGCGTTGAGCAGCGCTAGTATGGTGATAGGGTAGTGCGAATTAGACTGGTGTTTTTTTGCAGATCAATTGATTCTCCCATCTTACTCGGTACATTTGCGCCAGCAATAACAAGCCGAGGGTATCACCAGTAACTTTCCATCCCTTCCTCCCCATCCCAAAACACCAATGTGAATAACTCCCCTTTCCTTCCATCCTCAACCAAACCAACGCCCTCCTCTGCAGGGTTGGATCCTCCTTAGCCGGCTTGCTGCTGCATATGGCTAGGCAGATTGTAATCCGTATAATCCAAATGCACAAACGCCCGATCCACAGTCGGAACACTCTCTAATACGTACTGCAGACTCTCTCCCAAATCATGACTGTCCCTCAGCGTCATACCCTCATCCAGCACAACGTCGACTTCCACGTTCAATTTATCACCCGCATGGTAAGCTTGCAAGCCTTGTATCGATTTGATTGTTTTGGCGAACCGCATGGTGAGGTAAAGTAGAACGTTGCGGTCAGCAGCAGGGGCAGCGGCACCCGTAAGGTGTTTGATATGAGTGCTGGACGTCCTTGACCAATTTATTATCACATACAAAGAAAGCAACAGACCGCCGAGAGCATCGAGCCACCAGAGGGAAGCATAGTAGCCTACTAACGGGAATATGATGGAGAAAATGTTGAACACGACATCCGTCATTGCATCTTGGGCCAGAGCTTGAACGGAACTATTCTTGATGAGCCGGCACCAGAACCAGCATCCTAGCTTTATGAAAACGGTAGAAGCCATGATTATGATCGCTGGGAGTCCAAGCTGGATGATGGAGTGATCAGGGGATGTGAGCCGGTTAAAGCATTCTAGAAAGACCTGGAAGAAAGACGTTATCATGATAACGCTGAAGACGAGGACGCCAAGAGGCTCGAGACGACGGCGCCCAACAGGGTATCTGTATTGATCCTGGCGGGAGATGAGCTTGGTAGTCGTCCATACAATGGCGGTAGAAAGGAAGTCGAGAGCTGCATCGACCAGAGAAGCAAGCACGGAAAGCGAGGAGGTGAGGGCAATCACTGCGATTTTCCCAGCGAGAAGAATGGCGTTGGCTGCTAGGTTTACATAAATGGCAATAGTCACTACTTTGCTTCCGCTCTCGTGATCATCGTCATCGTCGGAGCCTTGGATTTCATAGGCTTTGGGTCCGTCTTGCGCGCCGTCACCCAAAAGGGGCGTGTCTTCGTCTGGGAGCTTGTACAGTGCTTTTGGAGTCCGCTTCACTTTAACTTGGCTGCCGTGACCGTTAGCCGTGGGCTTGATGTCAGCAGAAGGATGTTGAACGTCCAATGTGGAGGTTTGCTCCTCGGAGATGGTCTTAGGAATATGCAAGTCTGGATCCGGGTGATTGTACTCCTGGATGAGATTGTGTGGAAGTGACGAATCAAGAAGGCGGTCGATGTAGAGATACGAAGATATGAGGTGGTTGTTACGTTGATAATATTTCCGTATGGACTTCTTCATCTTCTTCAATTCTTCGTCGCTCTTGTAGTATTGCTCCCATTGATATCTTGGATTGTTGCTCCCAATTAAACGCATGCTTCTCATCTGTGGGGTCATCAGAACCTCGCCCCCATCGCTCACGCCACTCATTCTCCTGTCCATCTTTGACAATCTGCTCTTTGCGGGTGATGGCCCATCGTCCCCTCCATCCACGTTTCGCTCCACGTCGCTCTCGTCATCTTCAATCGTTTCGGGAGTTGCTGACCTTCGTTGCGGTGTCTGCGCCCACAGGTCTTTAACATTGGCTGTAGATCTGCTCTGGAGTAGCGATGGAAGTTTCTGACCGCGTGTGGAGAATGCGTTGCTTGTGTCGGAGAGAGGAAGGAAGCCGCGAAGTGATCCAATACGATAAGATTTCGGACGTGGAGAAGAATCGTCCGTCATATTGTTGAGGATACTACTGGCCCTTAACCCAGGATTGGGAGAAGACAGCAGCAGTGCGGATGATGAAGGGCTTTCCACCTGAGATGTTTGCTCCTTAACACATAGATGGTTCGTCTGAAGAGCGAGATTGCTTGCATGACATCTACGAGTACTTCCTCGAAAGTTGAGTGGTTGACAGTTGGCGGGGACCAAGATTGGCTTAAATTAGTGCAACATTGACAGCCAGCAAAAGCAATCGTTCGAAATCCAACACAGCAGAACTTGTTAACATGTGAAGATGGCTTATCATCTATGTACGCCTATTTGATACATGTACAGCTTTCGCAATGAAAAGATCCGAGAGTGGTGTTCGAAATCGCTTTTACCCAACTCTGTGACCCAACGTAAAAAAATCACGTCGTAAATGAAGACTTCCCCCAAACAGTGTCAACGCAAGGAAGGCTGTGATACTTTCACGTGATCAATCTGCTCCTCAAGCACGACCATTATTCATTCTCAATCCCTGTTGCAGGAATTCGACCCTATCCCTTCCTTGATCGATCAGGAGGGACGTGGGAACACAAATCTCCCATAGATTCATATATATTCAAAAAGCGAATTCCGAGAGTTCGCTCTTATCTGGGCACCTCGTCAGGCTCATAACGGCTGCCTTTGTCGTTCTCGAAAAGCTGCTGATCCCCCTTTCCACCCATCTCCATGAAAACTTCCGCTGGCTGATGCGCCGCCGGAAGCTCCTCATGTTTCCGCCCTGTATGGCCATTCGCAATCACGGTGGCAGGATTGTGGACCCTTTTCCCCTCGATATTTTTTTCAAAGACCTTGACTGGGGCTTTGTTATCCTCCCACTCGACTACCTTGCTGACCTTGACATCGTTGAGATCGCTGAGTAAAGTCCGCTCCCGCGCGTACTTGCGTTTCGAAAAGTCAAGCTGGTCCATAGCACCTGTTAGACCGTCGGTGCTGTCAGCAGGATTGATCGTTTTCTGCGTCGTCCATGGATGTTCGAGGCATTCGTCTATTGTGATGCGTTGGTCTACGTCGACTGTAAGCATACGATCGATGAGGTCGAGCGCTGGATCCTCAACAGAGTCCCAGTACGGTGAAGGATAGTCGAAACGGCCCATTTTGATCTGCTGTGATAGAGTAAAGGGGTGCTCTTCCGACCAGAGCTCGTCTGAAAATGGTGGGAAGCCACATAGACAGATGTAGAGAACCACCCCTAACGACCATACGTCGACTGCTCTAGTGTATTTGCGATGCCTTGAGTTCTCCAGTATTTCAGGTGCAACGTAGCTGGGCGTGCCGCATCTACGACAAGCATGAGTCTTCTCGGCCGGATTAGTGGAATGCAAACAAACTTACAGCGTTGTAGTGAACGACTCTTCGCCGATGATCTTAGCTAGACCGAAGTCGGCAAGCTTCACTGACAGCTCCTTGTCTGCCAGCAAGATATTCTCTGGCTTGATATCTCGGTGTACAATGTTGCGTTCATGCTAAGGGAGGTCAATACCATCACCCAGATAGAGAGGAGAGGAACGTACGAGGTATTTGACACCTTGAAACAACTGTATAAATACTCTTCGACTTTCTTCTTCCGTCAACTTTTGCTTCATGACAATACAGTTGAACAATTCTCCTTCGGGTGCAAGCTCAAGCACCAGATAAACGCCGTCGTCTTCGTCGAAAGTGTCCTTTAAACATAGCATATTTGGATGGCTGACAGACTTCAATACACCTATTTCTTGCTGCAACCCATCCGTCTGCGATCTCCCGCTGTCCCCGTATCTCTTTTCAAACCTTTTCACTGCATACTGCATGCCTGTGATCCGCTCAATGCATAGGTATACGGTAGCGAAGTGGCCTTTGCCTAACTGCTGCAAGATTTTATATTGCTGACGAAAGGCACTAGCATCTCTGTTTCGCGGGTAGTAGAACATGCATCTTGCTTGATCCAGGATAGAGATCTCGTCCGCATTCTCTAGCTCTCGGCGCTTGTTCCTTCCAACGATGGCCTCATTCACAAAGGTTCCGTTGCTCGAAAGGTCTTCTATGAAGGCCACACCTTTGCCGTTTTTGCTTTCATTGAAGACAATGCAATGGCGATTTGAGATTGTAGGAAGCTCCAGCTTGCGATCTAATGCCCTTTAGTTCTCAGAGTCCTCATCACTAGTCTGCGGATTTTGCATACCGCATTCTGGATGTCTCCCAATGAGATAACCACCCCCGGGAAATCCTTTCAAGCGTTTCTCAGCTTCGTATTGCTTCTCTTCATCAACGTAGTTGAGGGTTTCCGTTCGAGTCTTGCCGCGATCCTTGGTACCTTTGCCGAAATGCGCATTCGGGTATGGTGCTGGACATGCTGCCCTTGCCCTGCAAATCAAGGTATCACCAAAGATAGGGTCCACGGGTACCAAATAACCCCAGACGCCTTCGGCTTCTTCATCCTCCACTTCAAACGAGCGCCCTCGGGGAGGGATAAGAAATTGCGAGAAAGCTTGCGTATCTGACGGAGGAGAGGATAATCCTTGCGTGTTTTGAGCGGGAGATGAGGCCGGAGGGGTTCGATGCCGGATCTGACTGGGGCGGCCTTCTGGTGGCGATGCTGTGACGTCCTTGTAGTCCTCTGATCTTGTACTCTCTTGATGCGTCAGGGGCGACGGGAGGTAGGATTTTACTTTGTCTTTGAGAGGAGTCGTCTGCGTCTGCGATGATATACGCTCGGAGCGACGCGGCTTCTTGGTATCGTACTCTTCGCCAGTAGAATTCTTCATCACGGCGAATGGTAAGCTAACGCTCGATAGGTAGTGCACTGCCACTTACCCTCCCACGCTTTAAGGAGCTTTTCTCAGAGGCTTTGAGAACCATTTTGGCTACTTATATGCCAATTGAGAGAGAGCACCTTCGCTGGAGCAAACGGGAAGACGGACGCGATGGCAGAGAAAGCTTATAACAATGAGCGAATAGCGTTGCTAGACTTCGTAGGGAATTGATAATTCTGCATCTGATCTCAAAGCATTGTTATCATTGTCGCTGTGAGTTCCCTTCTCCTTGGGTTGACCGTCGAGACTATTGGCAAAATTGTAGAATCTTGTGGTCCGATATTTATCCTTCGAGCAGCATACAATTGACGTCACCTATTCGCCGTACGACCTTTGTGGTATGAATGAAGTACTCGAGTACGTGAGTACTCTTAGAAATGTCAGAGAACGATTCGAGGCTGGAGCTTCCATATAATTGCGGCACCCGTTGCCGAGCCTCAACGGACTAACTCTACGCACTGCACCCGGGCTGGTATATTATATTGAGCGTGTCATAGCAAAGGCGAACCTCAGCTAAAAGGACTCCTTGTCGCGCCGACGCCATCGCCAATTGATTATATACAGATAACTCTACAACGACCAGCTCATGCTTTTTCCCGCTTTTCTCTTCGTTCCCATTGCACTACCGCAGGGTTCAAAGGTCGCGAGAACAGCGACGAGTAGTCCGTCCCCACAACTCCTTCCTTGCCCTCCAAATTCTTCAATCGGAACGCCCGCACCATCGTCGCCGTGATAGCGCCTAATTGGACGTATGCAAACGCTTCACCAATACACCGATGTCTTCCAGCTCCAAACGGCAGATACGGACTGTTGGCACCCTTGGTGACGAGTCCATAACCGTAATCGATTTTCTCGTCATCGTCAGCATCTTTGTTCGAACCATGAAGGGCAGACCCCTCGTCCCAGCGGTGTGGTTCCCACAGATCGGGTTGGGGAAAGTGATCCTCTGTTTTTGATGTTACACCTGGTGCAGCGAGGAGTACGCGAGACGTTGGTATTGTATATCGCGTCCCTTCTACTGACATGGGCGCAATAACCTTCCGCATAATAGAGTGGATGGGCGCATGTATGCGCAGGGTTTCTTTGACTACTTGGGAATTGAGAGTGAGACACTGCAGGGAGTCGTAATTGAGTGGCGGCATATCTGGGCCGAGGACTGATATTTGCTCTTGGTACAATTCTTCGAGAATATCAGGACGGGCAGCAAGGCGGAGGAGAATCCATGCCGAAGTGCTGGACGAGGAATGCTGGCCTGCCATCAGAAGCGCAATCATCATGTGAGCGACTTCTAAGTCGGGGACCGGGGTGCCGTTTTTGTAGACAGAGGACATTAGGTTCCATATCATGTCATCGGCATCACGCTGCGAACCGGCTTCGCGCCTTGCCTCGATGATTTCCAGATATGTCTGGGCCATCTTCTTCTGCGCGTAGTCGCGTTTCCGATTATGGGGCAGGGGTGCCCATGGTAGCATAAAATTGATGGGAGAGAAGCCCATGTCAAGATCGTGGTAGAGGTCCGCAAAGCTTGAGTCGAATTTCGAGCGGACTTCTTTGCCCTGGAGAGAGCGAGAGGCAGTATATATTGTTACCTCGGCCATAGTGCCGGGAACGTTGAAAGTGCCCCTGGATCCTTGGAACGTGGCAGAGCGGGCGACGAAATTTTGGACCTCCTCAACGATCAGGGGCACGTAGGATCTGAGGGCGTCGGAGGTGAGTCCAAATTTGACGAACTAATCTGATCGTCAGATATGGACTTGCATTTCCTTACTATTCCACACACCTTTTTTTGCTCCATCAGCTTCGCATTTGGACAGTCATATACAACCTCTTTTCCAAAGACCGGCGTAGTGAGCGGACTGTATACCTCCTCTGCATTGACATCTTTGAGCTTTCCGTTGAGAATAAAATCGTTTCCCTTCACCCCCAAACAGACTGTCGTCTTCTTCCCAAGAAGAACGAATGTGAAGATGTCACCATACTGGAGATGTGATCAGCATGGCTTCGCTGTCTTGGAGCACGCGGCACTCAGCTACCTTCTCCCGACAGCTAAAGAAGAATCTGTAGGGATCAATTCCATAGGTGACGGTACTGCCAATGAATGGCACCCAATGAAACACAAGTGGAGGCTCATTGGGATTTTTGAGAAGTAGTTGGGCAAGCACGTTAAAAACGACGGCAACAACAACGAACGAGAAGAGGCCTCCAGCGATAACCATGCCAGTGGAATTATTAGATAAGAGATGACGCAAAGGCTCGGAGACAGCCGCAAGAACACCCATGGCCGGAAATGACAGACAGCGGTCTTGCACTTTTAGGACAATTGAGTTGTAGAGACAAGAAAACAGAAGTGAAAGTCGAATAAGTAGTTACTCTACTCGTACTCTAAATTTATTTCTTGGCATTCTAGCGTTATGTCGGGAGTTTAAATATCCGATATAGGCACATCAGACCACGACATTGTTCTTATTAGTAGACGCGCAAGCAGCATCAGCCTGAGCCAAATACTCGGATGACAGGCAAAACTCTTTTCTCAATAGTCACCTTCGGTTCTCCCAGGCTCTTTTACTTGCCATGACCGAAAGCAACAAATTCTGTGACCATCATGTCGAACATGGAAACGCCAGAGGCCAGAGAGCTAAGCCTGGTTGGCAAAGTCGAGATGCGTATAGCTCTCGCAAATGATGCCTCTCTGGGCAAGACGTTGAATATTTATCTCGCTCCATTATTGCTCAAGCTTGCCTCGGAGTTTGTGAGTGTGCGAAACAAAGTAAGTATGCAATACCATCCTGCAGGCTAGTTGTCCAAAAACATGGCAGTCATCCAAGTGTCGGCATCATCTGAATAAATTCTGCAAATTGTTGGGTGTCAAGCCGAATCGAAAGACGATTGATATACATAGTCAACTCAAGCAAATCGCTTCTACCGCGAAAACCTTTCCTTTCCGTGTTGTTGTAGTCGAGACTCAAGGGATTCGGATACTTACAAGTGCCACTTTTCCTGGCAGCGACTCTGCCTGCGATGCTTTCCTTCAGCCGCAAGTGTGGTCGAGCTAATTTTCGTCTGTGATTTTAGGTCATATCCGTCTGTCAGCACATCAATACTAGAATCAAACCACCGTCGATAAAGCTTCCTGTAGCTACGCTTCTCAGGCAGTATAAAGACAATCATAACGCTTTGGTCCGCCACTTCGATCTTTTATACATCCAACAAGGCATTGATAGACTAGCTATTTCTGTGAGTCTCTTCAATCCACACTACGTCCTGCTCCTAAGACAGTGGCTTTCGGTTGTAACGACCACTTGTTCCCGCTACCATGCTCATCAGAAAACTCGTCTAGGAACGTCTTGATCTTCTTCCGACTCTTCTACATGGCTTGCGATCTAATGCCGAGGAGTCTGCCACACATGCAGCTTCCCTGTTTAACCTTTTGCTCAAACTTCTTCACAGCATGACACTTCCTGCACGCGGGAGTAAGGAAGATGTCGATCTAAGGGAGGGCCTTGGATTAAGCGACAAAGCCGACGATGCAGTCTTTGTCGCTACGTGGCTAGGGAAGCTCATGTTGTTTGGCATTGGCCAAGCTGGTACTACTCGCTGTCCAGGTTTAAACACGGAGGACTGCAGATTCCTACAGCTCTACGGCAAGAAAGAAACGTGGACACCAAACGCAATGGGTGGATTGAACCTCGTGGAGACCAAAGTCGTGTCTGCTAAGTTCCTCGCCAGTGGGGCTTTTGTTGATACTGAACGCTTTCTACCGGCATTGTTTGCTTCAGCTGACCCCAACTCGCGTCTCTCCGACATTGGAGATGATATCCTGAAACGAGCAAACTCTGCTGTCTCTTTCGAAGATCCGATCTTAGTGCAGCAGCTATATGAAATTTACTTAGGTACAAGGGGTGCAGAAGGATCTCTTCCAGCTCGAGTTCCTCTGCAGACGAAGATTCTCACACTTCTGTGCAAGTCCAAGCTCGCTTCTTCTTTCGTTCCGCAGAGCATCCAGATTGTTCAGGAAGGGCTTGCAGCCCCCAAAAGTGCCCAGCAGGACACTAGCATCTCGGCACCAAAACAAGGCCTCGAAGCCTCGAAGCTTAGGTACGTCGTTTCGGAGTCGTTGCTTCCTGTTCGGGTTTTTGATCTGCACATGAGGCATGTGTTGGAGAGGGAGATAAGGCTTCATCCTCCCCTCCCGCCCGGGGCTTTTCATTTTCATCCCACGACTCGATTCTGTGTCACGAAAGGGGCTTCTTCTCCCAATTCGACTCTTTAGACTTGTTTTCACGATCAGATTGTGTATCACTAGATGGCTTCTTACCCATTTTTACTCCCCAGGTTTGTCTTCGGAGTTGACTTTACGTCTTGAAAAGGGCATACTAATTCCGAAACCATCATCAGAGGCCAGATCTTCGCTTTTACAAATTGGCTTGCACGAATTAGCTCGCCGGCCGATCTCAACGCGTTTGCACCGGGTTTGGTGAATCAGCTCCGGACATATATCGAGAATCAAGGCTGGCCACGGTATGACACCGACAAAGCCATGCCAAGCGCAGGAGAATTGACTTCACGCGCTTTCGGATATGAAAGCATCGGACTCCTCGCCGGGGCCTGCCCAGACAAGCTTCTGCTAGAACCCGAACTCGATCTTCTTCAATGGCTTTTCATGTCTCTTAGTGAAGATCCATCAGGCAAAGACGTATCTATTAGTATTGAGCAAGCTCTGAGTAGTGTGCTTAGAGGGTTTGATGCCGACCTAAGCCCCGATCTTGAGTCGTCATTGACCTCTTTGTTGTTGCATTATATGGGTTTACATCCCCTCGATCCTAGCGACGCCGAAGGTTCAAACACTAACATTGTCCGAAGCACTCGTTATGTTGCTGTTCGGTTTGCCAACCGTTGCCTTCCATATAGGAGTGCAACTGCTCGATGGATTGACATCCTCGCTGTTGACGGCGGCGTCAATGAGCGGAGTGAGGTCCTCGAGGAAGGGAGGAAGGGTCTGGATCCTTACTGGTATAGAATGTTGAATCCAACCAACGATGATGATTTCCCAAGCGAACGATCTCTCCAAGCCCGGAAATACGATCCTCCTGGCTTTCCAGAATTGATGGAGAGGATTTTCGGTGCTGGATCAGTCTGGGATGTCACCAACAACAGCAGCAGCCTTGATCTGGCCAACGCTTACCTACCTGCTCTCACGTTCTGTCGCTGTATTTTACTGCATCAAGCTTTGACAGCTACGAAAAGATCTCCAATTATAGATAGCGACTGGGAGCGAAACATAGACGCTCTAATAGCAAACGATGAAGACGCTCGGAATAGTCTCAAGGAATACTTTCGCAAGTACTCGACATTTTCAACCGAAAATCAAGCAGCTCCCAGGGCACTCAAAACGTATCTGCAGGCATCATACACTGGTATGATTTGTTCAAAAGGTGAAGATGCCAATAGAGGTGGAAACTTCCTCCTGGAACTTTGTCCTCTCCTTCCCTGTGCGGCCTACATCTATCTCTCGGCAAACATCATGAGTCTACAGGGACCTATATTTTCCACCAGGAAGACATTGCGTGAAACAGCTTCGCATGTTTTCGGTCTGTTGGCAAGGTATGTAATTTAGATTGGTTCTTTCCTATTTGGGCCTTTGGTCTGGGTCATAAGACAAGTTTTGTCAGCTGGAACAGGATTTCTCCCTCAATTATACTTTCTGAGACTGTTCTTACGATTCGACTGAGAGTCATGAGATGCGTTTCCTTTCCTTGTTCTGCCCCCAAATTTATCTGACAGTTCGACCTTCTGTCAGGCAATGCGCGTCTTTCTCTTGTTGTGCTCCCTGCATTCGGTCCAGGAGTGGGCTTTACCTCTTGAGAATGCAATGCTGACACTGGAATCATCGTCAGTCTCGAAGAATGTTCGAAAAACGAAACCCAGAAGATGTTGAAGGTCTTTGACCAAAAGGTCCGGTCGTGGCGTCAAGCCATTGGGAACGAGGCCCTTCAAGTACACGGCTCGATCCTTACTACAGCATACTTCCTGAGTAGGTCAGTCTCCCGCCACAATACTCCTTCAGACTTCGAGGAGAAGCGGTCGGCCTTCATTGCCAATATCCTGGAAGTTCTTAATGATAGCCGTGATAAAATGCTTTTGGATGCAGTTTTCATTGCTGTTTCGGAACTCGCTCTCTTTGGCGCGCTGACCCCCGAGTCCCTTCCGGAGCCATACAATGTTCGCGACTTGGTTCAAAAATCCATTGAAAAAGCCAAAGAGGGAGACGAAAAGGCTATAACGGCCTTGGGCCATCTTGCACTGCAATGTAGGGAAGAGTCAGACGATGACGCGATACTGTCTCACATCATCGAACAGCTCTACGACTTGCATAGTGTTAGACAACCTGAAGTGCAATTCGCTGTTGGCGCTGCACTGTGCTGCGCTGCAATAGGATGGCAGTCGAAATCGTTGATTTCAGCCTTGGATATCCAGGGCCCTGTTCCCATGTCGCCAGCTCGAGCAAAGACTTCTGCATCAGTTCTCGACGACGTGCTTTCAAAGTGCAAAGCCAGCAAGCCAGCCTTGCGACAAGCTTCGGTGATTTGGCTCCTATGCTTGGTACAGTACTGCGCGCACATGCAGGAAATCCAGGGTCGATTACGGGAGTGTCAGGTGGCCTTTAAAGGCTTCCTTGCCGATCGCGACTCGTTGAATCAAGAGTCTGCTTCGCGAGGTCTAGCTCTCGTGTACGACAAAGGGGATAAATCTCTAAAGGATGATTTGATACGAGACCTCGTCTCCTCATTTACTGGAAACGCTGGCCTTGCAGGGAAAGGAAATGTATCCGAAGACACCGAGTTGTTTGACTCTGGAGCTCTTCCAACGGGCGAAGGTTCGGTAACAACATATAAAGATATCATGAGTCTTGCTGCTGAGGTCCAGGATCCCAGTCTGGTGTACAGATTCATGTCACTTGCGTCAAACAATGCCATATGGTCCGAAAGGGCTGCCTTTGGAAAGTTTGGGCTCACTAATATATTGAGCGATGCCTCTACGGACGGCTATCTAACACAAAATCCAAAGATTTATCCAGCCCTTTTTCGATATAGATTTGATCCTAACACAAACGTTCGAAACTCGATGAACGACATCTGGGCTGCCATTGTGAAAGAACCAGCAAAGACAATCGACCTGCACTTTGACAGCATCATGAATGACCTTCTCAAAAATATCCTTGGCAAGGAATGGCGTGTCCGTCAGGCCAGCTGCGCCGCTATTGCTGACCTCATTCAGGGGCGGCCGTTTGAAAAGTACGAGAAGTATCTGACACAGACCTGGGAGCTTACTTTCAAAGTCTGCGATGACATCAAAGAGTCTGTCCGTGGTGCCGCAATGTCCCTAGCACGAGTCTTGACCGGCGTGTTGACACGTGGGCTCGAAGCCGGCGAGTCGTCTGCTTCGAGTGCGGAGAAGATGCTGAAACAGGTGCTACCATTCCTGCTAAGCCCGTCCGGCCTGGAATCAGGTGCTCCCGAAGTACAAGACTTTGCCAGGAAAACGTTGCTGAAGATCATAAAGAGCAGTAACGGAAAGACGTTGCGCCCTTTTGTCCCAGATCTCGTGGGCCGCTTACTCGCACTTTTAAGTTCCATCGAGCCCGAAATGATCAACTATGTCCATCTCAACGCTGAACAATACGGTCTAACAGCGCAGGAGCTCGACGACGCCCGCCTAAAAAACATTCAAGGATCTTCGATGCTTGAGGCTATTGAGCGATGTCTCGATTTCCTAGATGAGGATTCGATGCCAGAGCTACAGCAAAGTCTTGAGAATGCCATCAAGACCGTGGTCGGCCTTCCTTCTAAGGTTGGTTGCAGCCGTGTGCTCGTCACTCTTTCCACACGACAGAACTTCATCTTCAAGCCTTATGCAGATCACTTTCTTTCTCTTGCTCTGAAACAAGTGTTTGACCGAAATGACACAATTTCGTCATCGTATGCCGCAGCATGTGGGTATCTTACAAGACTGTGTTCTAATGAGGCCATCTTGAATCTTGTGGACTCTGCCCGGAAATTGTATTTCGGTTCGGATGAAGATCGGCACCGAGTGATCTCCGGAGACTTAATCTATGCGATGTCAAAGCATGCCACTGACCGATTCAATTCCCTTGCTGGGGACATTTTGCCATTCGTGTTTGTTGCAAAGCATGATACTTCTGACCGAGCGAAGACACTCTTCGAGGACACGTGGAGCGAGAACGTTGGGGGATCCCGAGCAGTCTTGCTGTACCTGAAAGAAATTGTCGGCCTGGCATCACAACATTTGAACTCCGCTCGTTGGTCTATCAAACATACCTCGGCATTTGCTGTTGCAGATGTTGTTACTTCGTCTGGTAGTGCCATTACCGATGCCAATGCTAGGATGGTATGGCCAGCTCTCGAAAAGGCGTTGTCAGGCAAGACGTGGGAAGGAAAGGAGATCATCATGAAGGCCTTGATCCACCTCGCAAGGAACAGCACCTTTTGGTCGACGGACCAGGGGGTGGGAGAGCAGTTTGAAAAGATTGTACTGCGGGAAAGCAAGAGGAACAACCCTGTCTTCCGTCAACATGCATTAGAATGCCTAGGAGATTTCGTCGAAGTGCGCGAGACGGTTGATATGTTCCCACAAGTCTTGGGAGTGACGAAGCCAATCATCGAAGAGATGTTGAGCGATTCAGACGAGATGGACATTGATTCAAAGTCAGGAGGGCCGTCTTCCAAAACTGTCATGGAGCTGACGCTGGCTAACGCATCGACTGCCTTACTGAAATCCGTCAACCCTGGGGAAAGGAGTGAAGGGGACCTAGTCTCAAGCCTTACTGAGACTTTCCGGCTTGTGAGTCGAGTCAGGACTGGAATGGCAAGCAGACTCACGCTCAATGCGATTTATGACGGACAGAAGGAGTTGTTCGAAAGACTCAATAAGGTACAACATGAGGCATTGTCTGGGCCACTCGAGACCATCCTGGTGGAATACGTGAAGCAACTTTTCGGCTCGAGCGAACAAGTTGAACAGACGCGTCTCAAGGCGTCCGAGGCAGCCATAGCAGTGGCGCCCATAGTTCAGAAAGGAACACGTATCAAAGCAGCGTTGACTGAGGATTTAGCCACGGCACGGGCACAGGAGCGCTCTGTGTCCGTTCAGCAAAGTCTCGATCGAGCAAGGAAGATAGTGGATGGATGAATTTCCATTATACAGCTGTGCCTTGTGGAGTATTTAGGATTAGGATCTAATGGTAAATGGTGGCTTCTGCTTTAAGCTCAACGGCTTTGGACAAATCCTCCTGGATGTGGGCCTTTACCTACCTTAACCTTAAAGTATGTTACAGTCTCGCCAAGGCACTAGCACTAGCACTGGCGTGGCTGGCATCGCCGCTAGCTACTCGACTTTATCCATCAATCAATGACTCGATGCAATAATTCTACCCAGAGCTAATGATGCTGAACCTTGGTCCCGACAAACGGAACGCGACATGTCGTCTCCAAACCTGATGCTCGTGTAAAGTCCCGTACAAGTACGGCAGTGGGTAGAGAAAGAGGATTGATTGCCTTTGCAGCGGAGATAGTTCGGGCTACCTATTGAGAGTGCGGGGGTCCATGTGGCAAACTGGATTAATACTATTCTGATCATGTAATGCCGGGAGTAAGAGTACTTACCTGACTTAGTGTTCTGGATTTCCCCAGCTGGAGAGGTGGAAAACGCCTTGTTGAGTTTGGTGGCTGGTGGTGGGGTCAGGTATCGTCTAATCTAGTCTAGTCTAGATTTAGGATTAAGCTTAAAGCGGGAAGAAAGGATGAGATTGCAGGGACCGATCGGGAGACCGGTTTTCTGGGAATCCTCAAAGCGCTAAGCCAAGTACCTAAAGTGCTCTCGTAGAAGGCTAAAAGCGTGGCCGACTTGAGCGTTTGCAATGGCTTGTTGATTTGTTGATCGTTGAAACAACTTACAAGTAAGAAGTGATCCAACATAATTTGTCGTCAATTTATGACCAAGTTTCAGAAGAAGATTGCTTCATATGTCTTTTTGCACGCCATTCCACCATCCTCCTTCCAGCGCCATGCTCATTTCCATGCCGAAAGCGTTTCGACTATCCGAGGCATATGACGAGTGATTGACATTGGAATAGACAATTGAAATGATGGTGAATCTGCCAAGACCAAGATGTGGAAATTTGGAGCGATGCCAGGGAAGTGAAACGATTGGCTGTGCCGCTCTTTAGTGTTTGAGTTTAGCTTACTGGTAGCTTAAGCACCTATTGGCCACAGGATTACGGTAACTTATTGACCACGTCCACAATACTACCTTACTCACCACTACTTGTACCCTTACTTTACTGACCATTGCTCTTTTTCCCTCGTGGAGCTGTGGCTAGGTTAAAAATGAATTCCGGAAGCCATGCTCCAAAGCCACGAACCTGGACCGTGCCAAAACCCTACTTACTAGACGCCTTTGAAAAGACTGACTATGTTTCATTATTATTATCATTATCATTATCATTATTTAACATTTATCCCTTCTAGTTCATACTGTCAAATCAAAAATATCATCATTTGCCTTTTCTCCACACATTACACATCTGATGACTTGATACTTTAATCATTACTGAGGCACTTTCCCTCTTAGCAGCTTGCATATCCCTCCCTCCTCCTTCCTGTATAGCATCCCACTTATCATTTCCTGTCATAGGATGATTATACAAGCTATCATCCTCTTCCCCTGCCTTCTGCACTCCCTGCAATAAATAATGTACATCTAAAAGCAAGCACCCTTCTTCCGGAGCATAGCATCTATGCTTATATGGGGGAACTGATAGCCGCATCACTCGCCCACCGTACTTTCTCCACGGAGGCTGAATCCGTAGCTTGCGTTTTACTTGCTCTATCCAGTGTTGCATACGCCTCACACATGCAGTGCTTGAATTCGCTTCATCACTGTTTCATGCCATCCGCCATCCCAGACTCATCCAGAAATTAGCCTCGATCAGATTCGACAGGGTCTCAACCTTACGAACGATTCAACCCCGCTGTATAGGACATGATAGTTAAGGACATTACAAGGACCTCTCTCTTCCGCCAAGGTATCTTATTCGTCATACCACACAGCCTGTTTCAACATCCCCCCCGTCTGTCGTTCTATAGCACGCTTTGCCCCTCGCCAAGGCATACTCGCAAAAGCCCCACTACGCAAGACACCACCATCCCACCACTTGGAGGAAATCATACACACCTCCAAGAACCTCGACAATTAGACCGACTGGTCGGACTCCACCAAGCTTAACTTCACAAAGCATCCATCATCTCAACAATCAATTGTCCACCTCAGCGGCGACAAAGCCTTTTCAATGACCGCCGCCGTCCTCCAAATGCAAGGCAGGCCGATTGCCTCCATATCCAAGCCTCAGAAGCAAGGCAAGGCTCGAAAAGCTCAACTGGCAGCTATTGCACCTAGATATCAGTTGGTCTCCGATCCTGACGCCTTCGACAAGGCGGATCCCACAGTCAATGCGATTGTGAACGTGCCCAGGACTCGTCTGCCCCCAAGGTCAAGGTTCGGATGTTGGTAAGTCTTCCTTCTCCAAATCAGTTTCTGCTGGGCTCTCTGGCTGACATTGAAGATTCAGGACATGTCGAGTAATTACTTCCCCAGCAGGCCCGAAATACTACTTTTGATACTGACATGCTTGCAGACACGCAAGGTCAAGTCGGTCCCTCCTCTGACGCTGTCCTGCAACAGCAAGCGTTTACTAATCTTCTGTTCGTCTTTTCAGATGTGACGAGGCTAGACCTGAATGCACAGTAAGTCAGACATGCTGCCACATCCTTTGCAATAGATTTGTTGAAGTGCTAAACATTACATTCTGTTCTAGCCATGTTCTCGCCTAGGACATCCGTGTGACTACAATCCTCGACTTTCATTTAAGGATGACACGCCGAGAGTGGTCGAAAAGATGGCCCGTGTAGCAGGAACAGGAGGACCGGTTTGGGATCGTATGTTCTCCCTGTCCTGCTTCAGCCTGTTAGCTCAACCTTGGCAGCATCCCTACCCCGACCATTCAAGCGTCAACGCACGAGCCCACAACAGGAGGATCTGCTCCCTCCCTTCTCAGCTTTGACCAACGACGAGGATCGAGAGAAGAAGGCTGAATTTAGAATCCCTGGGTCTTACCATCTCGTGGTGAACCCTTCGAGTTTTGCAGAATTTGACGAGTACAAAGACAACCGTCATGATCGGATCTCGCCGAAGAGCACACCAACAAAGGGACCAGGAAGCGAACTAAGCGACCAGTTCAGCAACGACCAGACGCAATATAATGACCCAAACGGTACCGATTTCAATGATAGTCAGACATCCGATGACCCAGACATCGTGATCTTGAGAATCTTCGAAGACGATACACGCAAATTGGGGTCACCAACGAGTGCTGTCGTTCAAGGGCGATCATCGAGGACGCCGACTCTTTCGCTTCCGTCTTCTGCGGGATCTGCACATCGTGCCGACTACTTTAGATTCTCGTATGACAATACGCCGCTGATGAGGATGGCTCACAAAGATGGACGGGATCATCAATTGGTGTACTACTACAAGAGTTATGTGCATCGCCATCTAGCTCAGGTCCACCGAGATTCCTTAGGGACGTCTTTGGAGACTGGAGCTTTATCAGCGCCGGACGTGTTCGAACGACAGGCTGCTAGCTTTCTACCGGTACGTCAATGTTGAGCTGCTTCATTGAAGGCATGGCTGGGGAATGCAGCTCTGGAGGAGACGCCCATGAAGGCATTCGTCGGGCAGCTGGGCTGATCAGGTTCTTCCACAGCTTTACCATGCCCTGATGGCATTCTCTGCGTTGAGCATGTCCTACAAGAACGGTGTCCCCAACCTGGACGCTTTACAGCATTACCAGCAGGCGCTTCCATCCCTGCAATCCAGCCTGAGAACCGAGCAAGACCTGACTTCGGACGGCGTCTTTCTCACCCATTTTATTCTCCTCCTATACGAGGTAAGACCAGCAATGTCTCACGTTCCAATACCCTCCCTGAATTGACCCACTAACATTGCCGTCCAGATCGCAGCTGGCGAACCGCGGGGTCTCTCGCTGTGGTCTCAGCACATCGGCCAACTACTTCGCATCACGCTTCTCCGCCGCGAGATGTATGGCCACGAGCCTTACTCGTTCATCGTCTGGTGGGTTGCTAGCATAGATACCCACGTGGTCCTCTCGGGCATGGGCAACGGCGAATTCATTGAAACAATGCTCCGTAATAATATGCTACCATCAGGCATGGACCCCCAGAATCCCTACCACACCTATGACTATGCTTCTCCTTCGCGTGGGCTTGCTTCACCGAACGGTCATGAAGCCTTGCCTAGCGCTCTCGCCTTCCATCGCCGCATTAGCATTTTGGCAGCGGAGCTAGGGCTATTGGCGAGGGACATTCGGGCAGAGGAGAAGCAGAACCCCAATGATAGGAGTCATGCTGTTATGCAGAGCCGGCACGAGAGGATTGGCGTACTGCAAGACACGTTGAGAAGGACGTGGAATGTTCAAATGCCTGTGTCCGTGGCGAGCGGTTACTGCAACCAGATCTTGCCGGTGGGGGCCAGAGGCATTTTTGAACATGTGAGTGACCGACCCTATTTTCCTTGCTTTTGAGAGCTAGCAGTGTTCGTCTACAAGCAGTTTCTGTTGATCCGTCCGGGGGCGATCTACGCCACTTGTTCGTTGGGGGCATGTCAGGTTCCCAGAAGCTCACAAATTTCTTCTCAAAATGAAAATGTTTTTGCCTAGAAGCCGCTATAGGGATGGTTGCTAATATAATTTATAGTCATTCGCGCTCTACCGCGCCTGCCTCATCTACTCTCACACCTCCATGTACAGCACACAACGTCTCCTATCGCCGTCATCCCTCATCCACGAGGTCTCTCAATGTGGGGGGAAATTCTCAGATTGGCCCGTGAAATTGTCGCCCACAATCATCTGGAGCGCAAGTTCATCGTCTTCCCACTGTTCATGTCCGGCTTCGTCTCCAAAAGCCAAGATGAGCGCATGGAGATCCTAGCGTTGGTGAAGAAGATGGAGGAGGATAGTGTGGGCAGGAATGTAGTGGCTGCAAGGCAGCTATTGGAGATTGTCTACGAGAGGCAGGAGAGGCGGAGAGACGAGCTGAGAAGGGAGGGCGTCGACGGGGGCAGGGAGGACGTGGATTGGGTGAGCATGATTAGGGAGCTGGGGTTGCAGGTTGTCAATTGTCGACTCTGAGAGTGAGAGGCCGAGAGCTTGGTGAGGGGCGTGAAGGTGGGGTTTCTTGCCGGACGTTCGGCCGCTGTCTGGGAGATGAGGGTCATGGCTGATGAGGAATTGCTCGAGAGATGGCTTCAGGCTTGCCGGTGTGACGGACGTTTCGGAAATACGAGAAGTGATTCGAGGCTTGCTATGGTGACAAATCTTGTCGACATCATCAGGACTGTGAGGCCAGGCTATGAGGAGATTTTATTCGTGCTGACAGATTGATATTTGTCAAGGATCGAAATTGGAGGGGGATGGCTTTAGCACAATGGCATAGCGTGGCATGGGGGTGTATCATATATATATACAGAATACGAGAAAGATGGTGAAGGAGGCAGGCATCTGCTGCATCTTTAGCGAAACCTGCGGCGAGTGATGTAACATTGACATTATTATTATTGTTAGTGTTGTTGTTGTGTTTGAATGGGTAAGAAAGTAGAAGAATGATTGGTGGATTGGCTGATTGGTTGATTGGTTGGCACCCTGCCATCTGAGCTTGAAACGGGCAAGCCAGAGCGAGGAAAGAAGCCAACCCTATTTCGACGACATGAGACCGTAAAGTAAAGTACTTTATTTGGCCACACCCGTTGCTTTTCACTTTTTACTTTTCACTTTCACTTCGGAGAAGAAGGTTGAGGCTGCCGGCGGTTGTTTCATCTCACACACAAGCGCCTACTTTAGGTCTTAGGAGAGGAGATGAGACGAGACGAGATGAGATGAAATGAAATGGGATGAGATGATGAGCATGAGATGGATAGATTACATGCGGTGGGAAATTTCGGCTGATCATTACCATTGTTTGAAAGATGAGCATTCGTAACCCATCTACCACCTACTCTACTCTGTAGCCGATTCCTCCACTCTGAGAACAGCGACCGACGAAAGCAACATTCCTCTCCGTAGCCTCAACCACCTCAGATCAAAACATTCTGCCCGGGGTCACGGATGGATATCCGAATCAACGCGGCCGTGTTGGGCATCACCCGCAACGGCCGTCAACTGCAGGGTTTGGAGGGAGTAGTATCTCGCGAACCGGGAACCACCGGCTCAGATGAACTTCCCGGCCAGTGCCTCTCGCGTGCCTTTTCCCCGTGGGACAGCGGGAGAGGCTATTGTAGGATTTGCACGCCAGCAATACAACGTCTGCTTCGCGAACGCCTGATTGAATTATCATTCTGCAGGACCGTGAGGAATCAATTCTGTGAGGTGAAAGACGTCGCGGTTGATGCGTTTGGCGGACGCTTGGCGAGCCATGCAAGGGATACGATTGGCTTCAGGAGGGATCACGGTATCGGAATTTGATGTTGATCGGAGAGGGAGGAGAGTGTGGCGGAAGGGATCGCTATACTAAGGATCCCATTGGGATACAGCTTGGAGAGCACGGTGCGGTTACATGAGTTTGGGCACGTACTTACCGCACCTTAACGCTAACACCACGGTCAAAGTCGTTTCCTCATTGGACTGCTTGACTGACGTGACATCCAAGTTGCAGATGGGCGTGTTCCTTGCTTCTTTTTCGCGTCTTGACTCTTGCGTGATTTTGCCAAGTCATCCCCAGCGCGTAAATCAACGTCGATCAGAAACCCGAAATCGCCGAGAGGCTTCAATGGCCACTGGTGACTGGACAACTCTTTGATAAATACAAAATCATTCCTTGTATTCCTTTTATTCCTTTTCGCCCCTGGTTGCCATGACCATGTCGGCTCACACTCTTTTGCTCTTTTTTTGAAGTTGAAGCCTGTCGACCAAGGTGTGTGCAGAGCAATGAAGCAAAGACTCCACGTGGTCGTCACCACAATTATACGCAGGAATGTTTATTATGGTGCTGCCCGCAACCTCAGCAGCTGTGGCCATCCGAAGCCTCTCTCACACGCCTACTCCACCGCAAGGAAAACTCTTAGAACGTCCTCACTCGTCACCAAGTCAGCATGCGCAAGCGCTGCTATCCTGGCAGGTACAATAGCATTTTGCCTCATCAATGCCCCAATCGCTCATGCCGAAGTTCCTATTTCCCATACTCCGGAAAGGCGCAAGATACGGCTAGCGGAAGTACAGAAACACGGGCGCGATGCTGAGACAAAATGGGTCACCAGGGGCGCGCGGGTCTACGACATCACAGATTGGATTCCCGGTCACCCAGGTGGAGAAGTCATTCTGAGAGCCGTCGGCGGCCCCGTCGATCAATACTGGAGTATTTTCACGGTGCACATGAAGCAAGAAGTGTACGATATCCTTGAATCATACTACATTGGGGACATTGACCCCGGGGATCTGGTCGACGGGCAAGTGCCTGTCGAGGACCTTCATGATCCGTTTGAGAATGATCCCAGGCGGGATAAGAGGCTGCATGTTCACACTTCACGCCCCTGTAATGCCGAAACGCCTACGGAGGGACTGGGTGCTTTTGTCACCCCGAACGACATTTTCTACGTGAGGAACCACATGTGGGTACCATCCACCTCGGAATCTGACCACAAGATCGTCGTTGAGCTGCCCAACGGCGAAGAGAAAGAGTACAGCCTCAAAGACTTGAAGGATAACTTCGAATCTACAACAGTCACAGCTACACTGCAGTGCTCAGGCAACCGCCGCAAAAACATGACCCAGGAATCCCGCTCCACCAAGGGCCTCCAATGGAACGTAGGCGGTATATCCACTTCTGAATGGACGGGCGTCCGCCTGCGCGACGTACTCGCTGATGCAGGCTTCCCTGTCGATGAGTACCCGGACGAGGTGCGCCATGCGCAATTCATGGGCGCCGAAGCGTACGGGGCCTCGATACCCATTGACAAAGCTGTAGATCGACGCGGCGATGTCCTGCTCGCGTACGAGATGAATGGGAAGCCGCTGCCGCCAGATCATGGCTATCCCCTCCGGGTTCTCGTACCGGGCACCGTCGCGGCACGTAGTGTGAAATGGGTCAATCGGATCATTTTATCCGAGGACGAGTCTTCGTCCCAGTGGCAGCAGAGAGATTACAAATGCTTCGGGCCTAATGTAGGCGGCAACCCGGACTGGGGTACTGCGCCAGCTATCCAGGAGATGCCGGTGCAGAGCGCCATCACTTCCCTTCGCGACCTCTCTCCCCACTCACAAGCCGATCGCAAGTACTTACGACTGTATGGACTAGAGGAAGATTCGGTCGCCGTGGAGGGTTACAGTTTCTCTGGTGGAGGGAGGAGGATCGTCCGCGTAGATGTTAGTGCCGATAACGGACGGACTTGGCATCAGGCGGAGCTCCTGTCGGACAAGGGAAAAGGTGCAAAGGCTTGGGCGTGGACGAGATGGAGATGGGTCGTCCCGCGGCAGCAGGCCGGGAGATGGTTTGTCGTCAAGGCTGTCGACGAGGCGTACAACACCCAGCCAAGTGATTACGACTCGAATTATAACTTCCGAGGCCACCTGACGAGTTCGTGGCATCGCGTTGGATATCGGCCTCCGGATGTCTAGGCAGCGGGCGTGTGGAACGGTTCCTGTTGCCTGCCTATGCGATGCGGAAGATACCATTTAGCGTCGTTCCAATCCTGTGGACTTCCAGTCACTGGGCCATTCGTCTCTCCTTTAACAACCGTTTCACCCATCCCCGTACCGCTATGCAACGTGAACCTCGACACGGGTTCGAAGTGCTCACCAGATCCTGACGAAGACCCTTTATCCTTGACCTTTCCAACCCACTCCAACAACCATCCGAGCCCTCCATCCCCGTCTCCCTTCGTTCCCAATAATCCAGTCTGAGGAGTCGCCGGCCGGCAATATCACCCGGAGGCTGGACTCGATCGCCGCCACGTGGGCAAGTGTGGCGAAAACGATCCCATTCGCCAACCGGCGAAAATGATAAAGAAAGTGGTCATGAGCTCGGGAAAAGATAATCTCTTCGACCGGTTCACGGAGGTTTGGTAGCATATAACACGAGTGACCGATGAGGCTAAGGGGATGATGGATCGATCGATCGATGGTGGGGAAAGTCGCGCGAGAAGAATGACATCTGCGTATAGAAAGGTCATGAAGGCAGCCCGGGCCGTTTGGCGGAACCCCGTCTTCGGATCGTTACTGGCCGACTACCACGCGCTACCTACCTACTCTGTGAGAAGCAGGATGTAGGGGTTCTGCGGCGTTCGTCAATCGGGGCTGGGGTCGGGTCGATGCAATGGCCGGTGAGCGTAACCCTGATGGGTAATGATGAGGCTGGAGAAGAGGAGCGTGGGAGCGGTGGGTGGTGGAGATGGTAGATGGGGTACTTGCGTGCCTGTGGATTTGGGGAAAGTGGCAGGCTGGGGGTTTTTTTCTTTGGGGGGGGGGGGGAATGCGGTGGTGGATAAGGTAGCTATTGTTGGAGACTGGGATTAGGCATAGTACTCGTAGGTACTTTTGGGAAGGGAAAAGGGATGTGGAAGAGGATTTTGAAGCTTTGATGGCCACAAACATCAGGACCGTTGTCAGTGGCGGTGACGAATCCAGTCAAAGCCGCTGATGCTATTACCTCAGCCATCGCTTTTGATATCATGGTCGTCGTGCCACCGGGCCGCCACCGCTCGTGACTTCAGTCAAGCCCCATCTCGAACCCATCCCTCGGATTCCTGCCTCCACCCATCCCTCGACCCGTTCCGCCACTCCCGCCGCCGCCCCCGCCGTTCATCCTACCCTCCAACTCCTTCAACTCTCTCTCCCGCTCCCCCAACATCTTTATCCGCTCCTGTCTCACCACGGCGAGGACTCCTTCCAGACTCGTCCTCCACGTATCCAACCGCCCTTGCACCTCGGTCCATTGCTTCTCCCCAAACACGCGATACGTGCTCCGATGTATGAGGAAGGTTTGGTTGAGCTGGGACAGCTTGCCCTCCACGAGCCCGGCGCGGATCACATCGATCACCCACATCTCTACATCCTCACTGGGGATCTGTAGGGCGCGGGCTATATGCTGATATGGCAGACTCCGACTTTGTGTGCTCGCGGCCAGCGAAGCGAGCGTGAGCAGGCGCATTTTCCGATGCAGAACTGCCGCATCAAGGGACGCGTCGGACAAGAAGTCGTCGTGGGATTCGAGGAAGTCATTGTAGTCGTCCAGCAGCTCGGCGTTGAATATTTCAAGCAGTTCATACCATTCTGGTTCCGACTTGCGGAGCGCTTGGATCGGATCGCTGGAGGTGAGGTCTTGGAAGTCGAAGTGCGAGGGATGGGAGAGAGCGGCCTTGAGCGCACGGATCGCGAGGTTGTGGGAGTCTGGCGAGGAGACCTCGTCGGCGGGGATGGCGCGTAGGGTTCGGAGTAGATAGAGATATGACTGCGCATCTTCGCCCGCCTCCGCGGCGACATTGGCGATTTCGAGATACAATTTGCGTTGGTCTTCTTCGTCAGTCTCCCACGCTGCGATCCAGCTGTCTAGATTCTTGAGTTGCGGCCGGAGGAGTTCGAAGGAGGAAGAGCTGCGTACGACGCGCAGGACTGCGAGGAAGACGTGGTAGCGGGTGTCATTCGTTGGGGGGAGGATGTTGAAGATCGTGGTCAGGATGGAAAGGGCGAGGCCGGGGCCATTGTTTGGGGAGGACTTTATGGGGGCGGAAAGGTTCTGGCAGATTTTGGGGAGGAATTTGTCGAGGTTCGGTGATTGGCGGACTAGGTGGATGAGGAGGTTGTAGGCTGCTATGAATTCTGTATCCTGATCTTTAGCACATGCCCTGAAAAAAGTTGTGCAGACAGGCAGCCCACCCTTCTCCGGAGCGGTATTCAGCACATCGCTGGCAGTGACGAGCTTTTTGAGCACTTCATCCTTCTGCCCCTTCTCCAACAGAGGCGTGATTTCTGCTTGAATGTTGGCGTTGTCCGGAGTTTGTTTCTTTTGGACCTCATCGACGTAATGTGCGAGTTCATCGGCAAGCTCCTCAAAGGAGCCTTCGATCAGCAGAGTATTCGTGGGGCCAGGCATATTGATGGCCGTAACAAAGTCGTAGTCGTGGATTTTGTGCGGGCAAATTCACAAAATCTTGGCGTTTCCCGTGGCGCTAGCGAGTTGTAACATGAGCTGTCGACTCAACAGTCGGCCACCATGAGGCCCAAATACTTCATGTATCTCCGTCTAGTAGAGGCAAAACACTTGAACATTTGTTGTCTGTCTTCCCAATTTGAGCTTACTTATATTACAAATGATTGATACAGTGAAGCGACCTCTTCCAGTCCTTCTCCAGTGACCGCCCTTACCATGTATGAGAAGCCCGAATCTCCTTTCCCTCCACTCGTATCTCAATTTAGTCTAGCACTCGCCCAGCAGTACTAGCTGTACTCCTATCCTTGGTTTGAACCTTCTTTAAACCTGTTCCCTTCTGAATGTCGCCCAGTAAGCCTCCTATACTCGGCTTTCCACCTGGCGGACCACTCGATATTCCAGGCGGTGGTGGCGGAGGCGCTGGTGGTGCACCTGTCATTCCAGGCGGTGGTGGTGGAGGCGGAGGTGCAGGCGGAGCGCCTGACGTCGGCATAGGCGGTGGTGGGGGTGGGGGTGCAGCTGGAGGTTCTCCGTCATCGAAACTTCCCGGCATGGGTGGGGGTGGCGGTGGAGACATGGCCGTAGCTGTACTTGGTGTTGGGGGTGTTGGGCTAGTTGGGCTTTCCATAGTCTTTTTATCATCCATAGCTGATAAGGGCCTGGGGGGTGCCATTGTGCCGAACAGCATGGAAGCGAGTTGTTTCGCGCTACCTCCTGTTGGTTTATTGGTATCCTCTTCGTCATCTGAGGACGAGGTAGAGTCAACAACGGACCATTCATCTTCTTCCGGACGAACTCGTGATGGGCGGTCGCCGGTCGGGGTAGAAGTGAGAGGTGGAGGAAGCGTTTGAGACTTTGCGGATTCCTGCTGTTGAGTCAAACGATGGAAAGGATTTGTGGATTCGGCAGCAGTGTTTGGTGAGGCAATGGATGGCGGCGTAGCGGCCGTTTCATTAGCTTGATTCATCTTTTTGAAGAATGGGTTCTTGGTATCTGCACCGTATGAAGATGATGACGACGGTGCTGGTGCTGGCGGTGAAAGAGCTGGTGCCGCAGGAGGACTTTGGACGGGCGCTGGAGGTGGACTCATTGAAGCTTCGGCCTTGGCCGCAGGCGCAAATGGCGGTGATGAGCGATTAGACGCCTGGACACTACCTTCTCTTGAGAGCACCTGACTGTTCAATGGCGTAGTCTCTTGTGGCGTAATCTCTTGAGGTCCATCCTCGTCAGACGAATCTTCGTCGCCTAGGCTCTCCAATTGCAACTGTAGCTGCCGTTCCCGTTCCTTTGCAGCTTCCAGCTCTGCTCGCTGAGCTGCAAGCTTAGCTTCCTTCTCCTTTGCTTCTCTCTCCGCGGCTTGCTTCCTGCGCTTCTCCTCCTGCTTCTTAACTTTACCTTGCTTGACCTGCTCTTCTAGCGCTTTAAGACGAGCCTGCGAAGCTTCACGCTCTTGGGCCAGGTCATGTTCCTGTCGTTGAGCTTCGTTTCTGTACGCTCTATTAGCTTCTGCGTCGGTATCTTCACCCTTCATCGTGACTTACTCCATGCCCTTGGTCTCTGACTGTTGGACCCGCTGCTGATCTTTGATCGCTTGCTCCTTTCCTTGCTGCTCGGCTTCGGCCCTGAGGGCATCATCGTCTTGTTGCCGTTTGACTTCCTCACGCTGCGCGGCACTGTCTGCTCTACGGTTTCGCGTTGGTGGAGGAGGTGGCTTTTTGGAGGACTTGCTAATTTCTGGAGCAGACGGTTGCTCATCGGCAAGCCTACGTTGCCTCTCTTCTTCTCGCTTGGTATCCTCTGCCTCAGCTTGACGGACTCGTTCTTGACGTTCCTTGGCTTCGCGTTCTTGTCTCTGCTGGGCAGATTCACCAGACTTAGTTGGTGGTTTTAAGCCAAGAGCTGCAAGACGTTCGGCCATACGCTGCTCTGCCTGCTGCTTTATGAATGCGGCTCGATCTTCGCCGGTCTTGTAGGATGAGTAAGAGCCTGCAGAAGCAGAAGCAGCTGCTGGTCTTGAAGTTTCCCGAGACTCGGGCTTCCTGTCATGGCTGGTCGGTGTAAGGTCACGCGAGCTATCTTTACGAGAGGGACCTCGGCCATTTTCATCGGAACGAGTACTACCAGTACTAGAGGTTATCAGCAGAAGCCCAGCATCGTGCTAGGAAGAAGGACCCACTCTTCACTTCGTACTTTGGCACTACGACTACTCCTCTGCAAATCAAAGATGAAGTCTCTCACTTCATCCTCGACACCCAGGCCGTCCTCCCACCTCCGTCTTTCGTGCTCACTGCTCGCATCCTCACCATCCTGCATCAGAGTATCCTCAAGACCACGAGAAAAGTCTCGTACGCTGTCTTCCACATCTTTGATCATATTTTCATTATTCTCCCGTTCACTCTTAGCTTTTGAATTCTCCTCCTCCAAGCGTCTTGCAGCGGCACCGCTGTCATCTCCGCTGGCGGGAGCACCTTTACCTGTCAGAGCCGCAGAGCGTTGCTGCATCATTGCTTTCGCGCGCGCCTTGAGTCTATCTGCCTCTGTGACAGCCCCGCCGGGTCCAGTACCAACGATCGTGGAGGCGCTGCTGGGGTGGGCTTTTGCATCTTTCATACGGAATAATTCAATCTTGGCATCAGAAATGCTACGTTCTGTCTTTCTGACTTGAGACGCTAGTTCTGGGAGACGGTCTGTCAATCTCTGCAATTGGCGTTTCAAGGTCCTTCGTTCCGCGCTAGAATCAATGCTTCGCAGCGTTGCTTTGGGATGGCTATCGATGTCCTCTTGAATCCGCCGTATGCGTCGATAAAGGTCCTCGGCCTCTCGACGATCCCTTCGATCAAGAGCATCGTCTTCTTCCGCAGCGTTCTCATCCTTGAAGTCAATTGCGTCTAGCAATACCTGCTTTTCTCGGATCTTCTTACGCAGCTGTTCGATCGACAGATCATCACTTGATCTTTCGGAAGATGGTGATGTTGATTGAGCGGGTGAAGGAGTACGTCCATCACCACCAACCCTGCGGCGCGCACTCGATCTGTACCCGATATCATCATCGTTGTTTCGAAAGATGGTTGCATCCTTTCGTCCTGGCGTGATGCCGTTCGAATCGTTCCGGAATGAATGGTTCTTCAGATAGCTAACACCCGTTTTCTGCGGTTGAAGGAAGGAACCCGTACTTTTCCTGGTTTCGGCATCTTGTGAAAGTAGCGACTTGACAGTATCTATTGAATTCGTGAAGTTCCTTGTCGATGGAGGGACAAGCTCTGGTGGCAGCTGATTAGGCACGGGGTAGCCATTCAGCTTCCTGTAAATTAAATGCATAGCGACAGCGAACTCATCCATATCTAATCTTCCTTTATTACTAGGATCGGACAGAGTCCAAACCTTTTCGAGGTCGGCTTTAGGTAGTCCGCTTTGGCCCATGACCTCAATGGCAACATCGCCACCAATGAAGCCTTTGTTGAATCCATCCCAGGCCTTGAACAGCTGATCGTAGATCTTCTTCTCATCCTTGGTAACAGCCCACGGAACCGTAGCGCTACCCGACAGTCCAGCCGTTGTATATCCTCCTTCACGGCCTGCTTGGGGCATCATACGCTGTTGTAGAGCATCAATATTTGGCAATCCTGAAGCCGGAGCGTTCACAAGCCCCCACTGCCCAGGGCGTCCCGTAGGCTGAGCATTAAGAGGCATTGACGGTTGGTTGCCAGTCTGTGCTGGAGAGAGATTCGAGCCATAACCCGTCGGCATTGGCGGCATGGGAGGCCTGGGACCTTGGTAACCCGTAGCTTGTGCGTTTTGCTGGTACCCTGTCTGCTGTTGCTGAAAGCTAGTCGGCTGTGATGTGAAGCCGGTTTGCTGATTTCCAAAGCCCGTTGGTTGAGGTGGGATGTACTGCGCTGCGAAACCTGTCGGTTGAGATGCAATCTGCGACAGCAGCTGGCTGTTCGAAGCCTGAGGCTGAGGCTGCTGAATTACGGAGGCGGAACTTGCTGAGGTTGGAGCATTGAAATTGGGCGCATTGCTTCGAGGAGGCGCCACAGGACGATCGTCAGGCACGCCGAATGAAATGATATCCACCATACTAGAGACTTCGTTCATGATCTTTTCCGGCAAGCTTTGCGGTAATTCTTTTCCCACAAGCTTCAAATTGCAAAGGTACATGGCTAGAGCGAACTCCGGAAAGAGGAGCTGACCCGACTTCGTTGTATCCGAGAGAGTCCTAGAAATTGTCAATTGTTGGACACCAGGATCTCATGCATGTCGTACCATATCTTCATAAGATCAGTTCCGGGAAGTTTCGATCGGATCAGCAAGTCTTTGACCTTCTCGCCTATGTTTTTTTAGTTGTAGCAGCGACCTCTTCCTTGGCTGCTTACCATCTAAAGCTTGTCCATCACCTACTGCCGATTTGAATAGCTGCTCAAACTTCGCCTGATCCGTGGCGGTCAAATATGATAGCCGAATCTTAGGTATTTTTGTGCTTGATGCGGTAACTCGGGGCGCTGAAGGTTGCGATGCAGGCGTTGAGGAGAAAGACTGGGCTATTTGGGAGGAGGTTTGACCTGTCTTCTGCGGAGTAAATTGCTGCTGAGGAGGCTGTCCCGTCTGAAAAGGCTGTTGTTGAGGAAGCTGGTTCTGGGAAGGCTGTTGGTTTTGCGTAGGGTATCCGGTGTACTGTGGCTGTTGTTGCGAAGCTTGGAAGCTTTGCTGCTGTCCCGGACCTGGGTAGCTTGTATGTTGAGGTTGGAGCTGAGCTGCACCAAAGCCAGTAGGCTGAGGCGCATTGTAGCCAAGCTGTTGAGTGCTGTTTGGTTGCTGCTGGCCTTGCTGGGGGTAAGACTGTCCATACTGGGGAGGGGCTGGACGGGCGCTGTTGCCCCCTCCCAGGTAGGAACTTGATGCTGAATACATGAATTATCGGTACAGACAAAGGAAAAAGATGTAGAGCTGGGATGTGAGGGAGTCTGAGCCCATTATCCAAGCGTGACGAACTGACGATGTTTTGGAACTCTTGGGCGCTACTCCTACTCGGCTAACTTGCACGTATGGGATTTGCCTCTTCAGGGTGTCAGGCTGCCAAGTAACAATAAATAAGGTCGTCCAGCAGGCCAGGTGCCAGATAAAGTGACAGTTGAAAGTGACCAATGCCTTAAGGCTCTGATAAAATAAATTCAAGGAGCTTCTTGTGCTGTTTTACTTCCTTTCCGAAGCAGTTTGATCGTGCGGACAACAATATTCGAGGTTGATACCCAAATTTCCACTCCCATTCACACTATGAGTATTGAATCATGGCATGAATGTTTTCATGACAACGTTTTGCTTCTGGTATCTGGTCTGATCTTATTCGAGGGTTCGGCTCCTAGCTTCATGCCGTTTTCCGCCAACGCCTGACGCCAGTCTTCATCGCTATGCAAATTGCTGCGCCTTTTGTGAATCTGACCTATCATCTCCCCGCCCTTTTATCGTCCTTCTTCTCATCCGCCTTAGCTCCGTCCCCTACCATTTTCCTCAATTCGAATTCTTTGGTGAACTCGCGGCTTAGAATGCTCAGGTCGTTGACCAGATCTTTGCAGCATTGCATTAGGGCGGCGCGAGGGCTGAGGGTGCCATTAGTCTGAACTCGGAGTTCAAATTTACTTATGAGGCGAGGAGTGTTAGCAGAGAGTTTCAGGCACCTGGAAGATTTGCGTGGGAAATGGCTTTACCTGACAAGTGGATGAGGCACTTTGTAGCCGGCAAATTTGACGTGTGGCGATTGTAGAAGTCGCGAGCGGAGAAGATTACCGAGAGTATGATCTTCCTTGTTGAAAGTGAAGATCGATGATGAGGGAATACCTGAGTGGACGAAGCATCATATGTTAGCAAAGGGAAGGAACGCTCTGCAAAGTTGTGTAGGGATGTAATATGGAGAAAGATCTGGGGAATCGATTGTGAGGTATGGAGATGGTCTGGAAATCGAACTCACGTGTATCTGCCTCTTCGGTGACTTTCTTCTCGCCGTCACCTAATAGAAAAAGTTCGAACCTAGGCTGCGTGTTATCCTCTGCTGTAGGTCTTGACTCGCGTCTGTAGCCTGCGTTGCCTGCGTTGGGATTCATGCTTGACATGTGCAATGAAGCTGACCTCATATGCGAGTGTACAGATGTGTGCTGGGTAGTGCTTAAGTTTGTAGTGTATGGACGAGTCACATAGTCACCCGTAGGAGCAATGTAGTCGGCCGAAAATGTAGGGCTCAGGCTACCACGAGAGTGTTGAGATGCCATGACTCAGGTCATAAGGCACGTGATCGATAGATATGTGAGGAAAATGCGTGAAGATCAAACAAAAGTAGATGAAGGACTGGAAAGTGAATTTGAGTGCACAAAGTGAATGATGCATCAAAGCTAACGCACTTGGATGATGGCGACTAATCGTACACATGCCATAACATGTTGTAAGTTGGGTGGCATATGAAGACTTGCCAACCATAGTTCCCACTACGAATTTGACATTTTTGGAATTTAAAGGCCTGCATAGCCATCTTGATGTTCTTTACGACTGCAACAAAATGCCGAATCATATGAAGAAATACATTCAAAATCACACATACCTGTCTGGGGCATTCGCCATTTTCCCAAGTCCTGTCTCCTTGAATACTGCTGAGTCTCTTGCTGTCTGTAGTTGAACCCAGACTTTTCACAACACTTTTCCTGCTTCACAATGCCTTGCACTACAGGAAGTTTTCTCGTGAGGCTTTCTTCGATGCACTGGTTGTGTAGATTTGTAGCTAAGAGCAATTGAAGCAAAATAAAATATGCGATACTATGGAGATGGTAAGAGATACAACTGCTTTCGACAACCATTGTCTCAAGAATCTGGCGCCAAGACGTAGACTAGGGAGGTTTGATTGGTGCTCGCAGCGGAATGAACCGCACTCAGTCGTTCTTCTGCCACCCCCTGCCAATTCTGGAGATAGGTGGCCATGCGCCAATAGAATTTGCGAAGATGATACCTACTACAACTTTGAACACAGCATACCCGTGGACCCGGAGCCCCCTCATAGCCAACGCTCCAATGAGGCTGATAGCCCTAGCGCCGCTTGCGTATGCAGTGTCTCAGGCTGGAGGCTTTGGCTGGCTCGCTGCGGGTACTGACGTGGCTGATCTGAAAAAGGAGTTGCAAAAAGTCGCAGATCAAGTGGCGCAAAATCCTGTTCCAGGGTCGAGCTCAGACTTCCTCCCCATTGGTGTGGGCTTTATCAACTGGGGTGTCGAACTGGAGACAGCGCTGGAGGCTCTGAGGGAGCATATACCCGCTGCGGTGTGGTTCTTTGCACCAAGGAAGAACGAAGACCTTGTCGAGTGGACGAGAAAAATAAGAGAGGTGAGCAAGGGGAAAACAAAAATATGGATACAGATTGGGACAGTCATGGACGCAATTGAAGTTGCCCGTTCTTGTCATCCAGACGTCCTTGTCGTTCAAGGTTCTGATGCTGGAGGGCACGGACTAGCACATGGTGCTGGAATTGTGAGCTTGCTTCCAGAGGTGGCTGATTCGTTACGAGGGATGGGAATGGGAAGTATACCTCTAGTTGCAGCAGGAGGTATAGTGGAAGGTCGAGGGGCCGCTGCCTGCCTGGCTCTGGGCGGAAGTGGCGTTGTAATGGGCACAAGATTTTTGGCAAGCAAGGAAGCCAACATAGCCAAAGGATATCAAATTGATGTGCTTAGAACGACCGACGGAGGGAGGAGTACCGTCAGAACGAGCGTGTACGATACGCTACGTGGGACGGTGTGGCCCCGTCAATATGATGGACGGGGTATAATCAATCAAAGTTATCTGGACGCACAGAATGGTATGATTATAGATGAGAACAAGAGATTATATGG